TCCAGCTTTCAGATTAATTAAAGAGTCGTGGAGAGAAACAGGTATAGTGATGCACCCCGAGATCTCATGTATATCCCTCTGATTTCCATATAATGGAAATGCACGACATAACGGTTTGACGGCGAAGCATACGAATTTCAATCACTCGGAATATTCTACAAAAGGTACATAAATTTGCATAAAAGCTACTGCAAGACCTCAACTCAGCGAAAGCTTTTACATTCACTACTATTTTTTAATTAGTATGTTAATCTTCAAAAGTATAAAAAAAGAAATTAAAAAATATGTTAGACAAATTTTGCTAGATTTGTAAAATGCTAAAATGTAAAGAAACTGTTTAAGATCGCTTTATTATGTTCAATAAACTTGAATGAAACTTTCACGAAGATGTTAATGATAAGTCTCAAAGAGCATCGTACAAGGATATCGTAATGATACGTCGCGTTTGACTAAAGACGTCGGCGACGAAAGTGTCGTATCACCGCAATACCGCGAAAGAGCAATCGCAAGTTGCCGCAGACAAATAATCAAGTATTACCAAGGATGGCTCTGTTATGCTTATTAATTATTTCCAGTAGGACGCACAGTGGCAATTGATAGAGTGCGTTTAAACTGGGTCTCGCGTGCAATACCTTGTGCAACCAGTCTGGTTGTCAACACTAAATTTAAATTGAGAGATTTAAAGTTATTCATAATTGCTAAAACATTTTAATTATAGATATTATTTGTGTGTAAAGAAGATAAACTGAGAATATATTAGCTAATTCATGAATAATTAATTCTTATTTTATAGCCTATTTTTGCGAAATTAATTATTAATAATTAATCATGTTCTTAATTTTATTTAGTTCAAGTTTATTTCTTACTGTTTTTCATCATGCTATTCCATTTATTCAATGTCATTCTCAGTTACTCCATTTTACTTTAAATTTATCTTTTTAAATGTTAATATTAAGCTTATTTGAACCACAGAACGTGTACTTAGAAAAGATAAAATTATTACATTTGAAATATAAACTACTTCGCTCGGAAAGATTAAATAAGATATTAAATATGTGCATATTACGAAAGAAATAATGTCAGATATGCTACGCGAAGCTTACAGCGATGCTTTTATTTACCACAGCAGTTAGATAGTTAGAAAGTTAGTGAGTGTAATGCTACGTAATCTGGAAGAGCTAGTGCTTCAAATAATGTTCACGACACAATTTTGCGTATCTCATTAAATAAAATGATAAATATTAGCCTAATGTATTGGTCTATTTATCATTTTTTTAATTTATAACGTTTATAATATATACATAATTCTTTAACGATGTAATTATGTCATTTTATTATGTCAATTATCATCCTAATTAATGTTATTATGTTACAGATACTTCTAAAAATTTTTTAACAAGCCTTTCGCTCTACTCTATTGCCAAAATATAAATTTTTATAAAAATATTTCGTATAGAAATATCTATTAAAATCGTTTTTGCAAAAAAACAAAAGATAAAAAAGTTATATAAAAATTAATTCTCTTATATATTATTTCTATATTAATAATTATTATTAATAATTTTGTTATATTTCATGTTCTTAGATTTTTTTTAATGATTTCCTGTTGTCATTAAAGACGGCAGAACACGAAACGAGATATTGACGTCAACTCTATCCAATCGACTATCTACTCGACCATACTAATTTCTAGCATTTCCTATTGTAACCGACATAACTGCGGGTTCCACGCACGGCCTCGAACCTTTCGCTATCGATCTAAACCAACGACAACGTTACGCTTGCTGGAATTGAGCTAAATAAATCGCTGCGGTGAAGTAATAGAATGCAATGCGCTGCACATGGTATTGACAATGGTTGTAATATCAAGTAATTCCGGGAAACAAAGCAGTAATCGATTTGATTGAGCGGCAGATTGCGTACAAAACGAGATGCGAGTAAAGCATCGCGTTTGCCGATACATTATAAAGATAATGCGTGTACCCGTCCTGTTCGATGAGTGAATTGAATCGTCATTAACTCTCTCACTTCCGATGTAATTATACGATCTGTTTATTGAAAATATTTCAAACAGAATCTCATATCGTTATTTTTATACCAAAACTGCGAAAGTTTTACGTATATTGACGTTTCTGGGATAACATGAATTCACACCTTTTCACATCCGTCAATTATTAGTCGATGCTTTGACGTAGAGTGAAACTCGGTAATATATACGTGTCTCTGATACACATGCTTTGAGTAAAATGCGTCAAATATTAACACGCAACTTTCAAATTACTTTTAAGTAAAAACGCTAAACTTACATTGCATTCGTGATTTTGGTATAATAAGAACTATACAGATTGCTTTCTTGCAATATTAGCTTCCCTGAATACAAATTGAGTACATTTCCTGATATAATTTTCTTACATATATAATTATCTCTAACATAAGAAATTTTACAAGAAAAATTTAGAGAAAATTTCATATTAAAAGCAAATTTTTGTATTATTATAAATAAAATTGAAAAAAAATATTTAACCGTTTAATTAATCTTTTTGCAATTTTTACGAACAAAATCGGGCATGAGAGAGCTAAAAATAGATACTTGCGTTTACCTTCAGATGTGGTAGCCGAGAGCACTCCGTAAAGGATCACTCAGGATCAATCTTGTCACTCCGCGGGTATCCTTGATAAATCGCATTGCTCACTCACTGAACGCTGCACTCGCGACTCGCTCCGCATTTCTCTCCGCTTTTTTTTAATCGTTGTGTCGTCTCCGACCGCATCATAGAGATCTTTTTTACACGTACAACTTTTATCGTTTCGGGCGCGCACGCACTCGCGGTGAAAACCGGATCCGAGGACCGCGCTGGTATACGTCGTTTTGTCACAGAAAATATCTGCTCAAAATCACTGCACTTTGGAGCTTTTAGCTCGCCAGAAGTGACGGGGATAGAGCTAACTTTTATAGCTGTACACGTCTTTTTATTGAGCTATTGAGTTCCGATTTCTTAATAAAGTTACGACGAAGGATGCAACATGACAACATGAAAATGTAAAGAGGGTAAAGAAGTAATAAAGTTTTTGTCACACTCTTCTCTTATCTCTAATATCGGTTTAACATCCCATATCTGTCGGATATCTAGAGATCATCACGAGATTTTAAATAGGATCTCTCTTAATTAGCATTGATATATGGTATAAAAAATAGATAAGCGTTTAATAAGATATGTAACAAAAAAGAAAATGTCATGACCGAGTCTACAAAAATGATCGCTGTAATTGCTGATACTCGCATTTGCGTCATTTTTGTTTGCGCAATGTAACAATCTTGTAACAAACCGTAGAGAAACTGGCAATAACTCACGCTAACCGACTACCTGCACCGACTTTGCCACATTTAGACGAAACTAAGCGTAATAATCATGCTAATGCGAGATGTTCGCGATAATTTAATTATCGGAAAGTAATCGATTACGGTAAAACGTAGTCGAGCGAATCATTATTAATTTTCGATCAGCTAGCTGGATTCGCGTCGGGTTCGATAATTTTTTTCATTTTAAGGTGGGCCATTAACCGAATGTCTGAGTCAGTATATATTGCCGCAACGACTTTCTAAAGTGATTAAACTCACACACGTCGGCATGATACAAATATCCGATGATGCGATTACTTTCAATCGTTTTATAGAGCGAGCGGAAGGCTAGAAATATTATTTGCTCTCAATTACTCAACACTTTCCAGTTCTCAATATAGAATCGATATTTCTAAAATAAACCGGTAGAGCGAAAGAAACAACGATTGAAAATATCTGTCTGTGAACAAATGATATGTTGGAAGAAGTATATATTTATTCTTTCATGTAAAAAAAAGTAGGTATCTGATTTACGTTACGCCCAGGTGGCTGCATAATTTCTGATCAAGCCGCCAACACACCTCGCGCACCACATCCTTGACACCATCTGCCTAAAGGATGTGCTAAAGGTCGACACCGATGCACATCCTGATGTAATACCAACAGACGTTTAATTTTGCGACAAAAGCGCATAATGGCACGCACATAGATTTCTACTTCGCGAGAGACTCAAAGTAGTAGCTAGTAACCAACCTGTGATAATTTCATTGTTTAATAAAATCTAAATAGCGATATAAAATTAAAAAATGTAATATTTTTTTCGATGGACACCATTGTTCAAGTGGACTTTATAAAAGCTTGGAGATTCCGTTATCAAAAACAAGCAGATAAAAATGCAAAAAAAAGTCAATCAACGATTGCGGAAATCTTCGAGGAGAAAATAGAAGAAGAAAATAATTCTTCGTCGATCCTCTGATTGAAAATATTAATAATAATGTATATACTACGTCACACACACACAACAAAGATAAACATGTGTATCTAATTCGAGAAAAAATGCGCAATTGCTACGTAGCGCGAAAAAAAAATCCGTAAATCATCCTACAAAATTACGAGTGCCACAAAATTGCTGGTAAATCGATATTAAACACGCGGAACCATTTTAAGGAACAAGTTTAAGGATAAATGGAGACAAACGCTCCGCGTCCTTGACTGGTCTAGTCTCGAAGTGACTCCAATTGACGACGATAAGCACTGGCGAATAATCTCGGCCTTGACTTCCGCCGAAGAGGCCAAAGCCGCGTTAGCGATGATCGACGACCTGTGGGGTCACGTGAAGATCTACAACGGTGGGAATTAGCCGATCCATCCTGCTAGACCTTCTACCGAGCACCGTCAGTCAAACGTCTCGAAAGAGATCACTGAACCCCGCGTTCGCGCCGCTACGGCGCGCGAATCTTAAATAGATTTCCCGATCCTCTCAAATTGGTTCCCATTAGTCCTTCTCATGACAGAATCATCAGCTCGAGCTGTCCGATGCAGCGTGAAAACGGTCTTCGTCGAAAAGTAGAACGGTAGCACGTCGGCGCGATATGCGCCAGGATGTTTGGGAAGAGTTAAGCGCGAGAACCAGAACGTGGTCGCAGACACCAAGACTTACCCGTCCCCATGGCTGACAGCAGCAGCCTCCTTCCGCCTCAATCCTTCCGCTTATCCAGGATCCAATCTTGGCTAAGTTTGTATTTCACTGCGCGAGGAAAGAAATTATAAAAAAAAAAAAGAAGCGCAACGACCACGGTGGACGATGCGGTATGGTCGAAGGTACGACCTCCTCGTCCAACTAGGAGACCGCGGACGAACTGGTATCCGGAGAAGACTTTTGGTGAGACTTCGATGTGAGACAACGACGACGTCATCGCCGGCCTGGTGTCTCATTGGCCGACAGTCCTCTCGGATCGGTTGCTTGCCTCTCTCTTTCTGAAGCTCCCTTCCTCTTCTTTTCCTTCTGCACGAGCTCCTCTCTCACCGCTTACGTACTCACGTCCTCTCCCTCTCTCAGGTACTCGCCTTTTCCCTTTCCCGCTCGCGCTCATTCTCTCACCTGCTCTCTTCAGCTCGCATGGCTGCCCGAGATATTTCCGTCTCGCTCTGTCGCACTCCCACGGTAGGACTAGACTCATTGTAGAGTCACTGCGTGCGCGAAGTCAGTGAGCTCAACGCCTGGAACCAATCTTCCCGCACTCAACTCGCACGAAGGCCTGTATAAGGTATACGCGAGGCACGGATAGTCGCGGCTTAAGTGTCTCGCTGGATGGACGATGCTGTAGGTAAAGGTCAGTTAACGTTATCGAAGGTAATGATGTTTTATGCATATTCTAGACGATGAAGACACACTCCGATCTCTTTGGTGTCGAGCCGAAAGTCCCATGTAAACTACATCGACTTCATAATGTTGCAGATAATAATGATTATTCATTGATAAAAGAAGTAAGAATATAGCAAAAACTACGCGTCGACAAAGATCAACATTTTTAAGTCAGAACTATTTTTTAAGAATGATATTAAAGAACTGAAGTCTGAAATAAATTCCAAATAACTCCGAAATTTTTGCAAAGGAAACCAATTTAATTCAAGTGTCAAATTCTATGCTCCAATATTTATTTTCTAAATTACCTTGCGTCCGCTGTGTACAATAATAAAGATAATATCGAGAAATAAAGCTAAGAGGCAGAAAAAATAAATTACAAAAGAGTAACGTTACAAATTAACAGTTGGATAGCGCTGGATGAATGTACTTTACAAATGCTATCAACGACCGCGCTAAAAGAATCATAGATGTTATCTTCAAGGCAACAGGCATCCTTCCTGAAAGGTTCAACGATACTGGTTGAACCGGATAATGATTAAATAAGAACTGAAGTCCATCCGCTTGAACATAAGGCAGTTATTTATACGAAACTTATACTCATCTTTGCATCATGTGCAATTTTCTCCCTGCATCGGAACAATATTGCGAAACATACAAGATGTTTCCTAGTTGATGCCTAAGCTTTCTGCCACATAAATGTCTAAAAATAAATTACTCAACCAAATTGCCGGTGATGTAACAACATAACACACCGTTAATGATATCTTGTTGAATAAATTTTTCAGAGAAACCAGAGGAAAACAAACTATCTGGATACATTTAAAAGTTGTACAGATGAACAGTAATGTTGAGCTGCCTTATATATGAAGATATCTCGTACAAACTAAAAAGAAAAACCTTTAGAATTTATTTTATGCAAAGGAACTGCTTATAAATAAAGATCCATGTTATGGATGAGGCAGAATCTTCGCTCTCTGCGATAAGCAGAATTGTTGCTCGGATCTGCGGAAGCCAGATCTAAGCCTGAAGACTCATGGATCGCTGCTTGATGCTTTAAAAGATTGCGCTGCGCATCACGGATCGTTGCGCCGATCCGCAGAAGAAAAAATTCATAAGATCCAGAGAGATCCTAGCAAAACAACTATGTCGCGAATCCTTATTTGCTGAACATCTAGAAGACAAACGCGGCCGCTTCTGTACTGCATATTTCTGTCGGAACGAGAAGAACGATTCTATGCCTAGCTCTCGTCAAGGTTATCGCAAGAACTTTCGATTCGATCGAACTCCCAATTAAGGGTGTACAAAAGGGCTTGGCCTACCTTGATTTCATTATACAGAGAATTATAATTTATAATTATTTTCAGTTTCAAAGTACGTGTAAAATTAATATTCTATATCAAAAAATGAGTAAATGGAATCAATTAATTAATGATTCAAAATTTTAAGAAAATCTTGATTTTTTAAACAATTTAAAAACGTTTTTCTATTTTCTCCGAAACTTTAAAGCGGAATTGCAAAGATAACGCGGATTTCAGGTTCTAATGACACCGTAGCCTGTAGAACCTGCGAGCACGATGGTGTCGGTGAACTCAGGGCGCCTCGGGGCGTTTCACAGGCGCGGGTCGCGAGAAGAATCTGCGGATGCGCAGGTATACAGTTTACACCATTATGTTTAATTTATCGCGTGCTCGCTTCTACGCGACTTGACCGATTCATGCAAGAAACCTCTGTACAGAGACAACCATGAATAAACATTCACGTTGGCTATAATTAACGCACTGCATAATTTAAGGAGAAAAAAAACAGTCACTTCTTAAATTTTACGAATGCATAGATATAATGCGAGTCTCGTGACTAAAATAAACGCTTCAAAGAACGGATTAATGTTTAAAAGGGGGCAAGCGCTTCTTGCACTTTGTTTTACACCACGAAAGCAAGCTCAAGATGCACAAAATTTGAAATAAAAATATTAATACTCTGAACATTAAATTTTACCAAAAATGTTGACTTTTTGGTATAAAACTTTTGGTTGTATAAAAAATATTGATAATTTAATATAGACAATGTCACGTGTATACTAAAACTTTCCTAATTTGCTTCCACTTATTTCAACCTTTTTAAGTTCTAATACTCAATGAGCATAAGTGAAAATAACTGTTTAATGACAATTAAGATTCCTCAGTGTCATGAAAAAATTATTTTAACTTATGCTCACTCATCATTTTTAAGACGCGTTAATTTTTTTCTGGTAAATAAATCGAGTTTAAAATTGCCTACATTAAATGGTGGGACCACTTTTTCATGCTGCGCACTGCGAATACTGTTCTGTCTATTACTAAAATTTATTATCACGAACGAAAAAATAGAGAATACCGAAGAATATTATATGTTCTCTATTTTTAATCATTAATTATAATATGTAGTTTAATATCAATTATAATAGTTAAATTAAAGTGAATATTATAGACGGCCACACACATTCAGCATCGAATGCATGACGAAAATACAAATCAGAGCGTCTAGCGCTTTCTGCGCGGCCCTGCAGAAAGATACTTTCCGAACGCGCCTCATGAATTCCTTGCAAGCCAATTCCTGTAAGATGCTAGTGTGGGTAACGGGTTCGCGACGGAGCACGTTCATTTCGTATTCCCTTCGACGACGCGTCTCATCCGCCTCGCTGAGACTTGCGGACGGCGCCGATAGTCCGAGCAACAGCGACCAAGCACGGCGGCTCGATCAGATTTCAAAAAGCTGATGCGGCGACTGCGAGGCGCCCGGTGTGAAACCGCCTTGTAAACGACGAGCACTGATGTTTTGTACGCCCCGTCGATCGCGTTTAGGGCACGCGCCCACGTGAGACGAGTGAGCATCATTGCACTACACTAGTCGCGTGTCTCTAACCGCATCCCGCGGAGATAGAATGACCGTATTTCTTTTTAGGACAACACAACGGAAAAAAATCTTCTACTACGTTTTTTTCCATGTTTTCATCATTTTTCATGTTTCATCGAGATAATTTCAATCGAGGTCTTTTTTGTGCTATTTTCTGTAATTTACGTAATTGTAATTCACGCTACGAGATTCAAAATTTGCTCGAAAAGATCGTTTTCATAAATCGCGAAATAAATATACGGTTGATGTATATTGAGAAATAAGGAAGGTCAGTCTTGGCTGCAATTACTTAAGCGCGTAATAATACGTCATACCGACGACGATCGGTATAAAATATAAGCAAACGAAATTTATAATTTGTACCTCCGCATTTATCAGCGCGTTCGTGATTACGCGAATGAGCGCGGATAAGCATCTACGATAGAACATAAACTCATTAGCGGCGAATTCTCACTCCCCTTATACTTATACGATATTACTGGGAGAAATCCTAAGAGTCTTAAAGATGCGCACACTCTTCTATTACATAAATAATTATCCGCACTCGCGCGGTTGACTCACCGTGAATCGTCACACATGACCGTAAACACATGATCGTAGAAAAAAAAGGAAGGATGCGCAATTACATATATATTTACCTATAAATAAACTAAGCACCGCGTTTGAGCACTAGGCTCGCCGTACCATTCTGATAGCGCGGCATGTAAGTGAATTGGGAAAGATGAAGTCTTACCTTGATAATTGGCCAATTTGCGAACACAGGGCTAGGCACGTGTCTGTCTCCCGGTACAGTGAATGATCGCCGCCGGTCTGTTGATTCATCATCGTGTTATGCAACAATGCGAGTCGTATACGCATCGCGCGCACGACATCCGATAATGCGCTTCTTTCCGCGAGCCAGACGTGCAACAGGAATTCCTAGATTAGTCGATGCCGTAATGTGCTAATCACTTTGACGATAATGCCGGAGAACTTCCAGCTAGAAAACTATTGTCACGAGCAGGCGTCATGCGAGCGAAAAATCTGCACACAGAAAAATTAGAAACTGCCAATTAGTATTATAAATAGATCAATTAATCCATTTAAAATGATCAGATTCAAAATTTCTTAAAATATGATTTTTGCGTGCATTGAATTGATTAAACGAAAAAATTGATTTAAAGAGAAAACGAAAAGAAAAGATGCTATTATTTGGATTAGGAATACCAGATCCCCTTTTATTTGCACGATTATCTAACAATAAGATGTGTACCGAATTTAAATTAGTGGCTGACTGGCGCCAGTAGGCTATTACAAGAATAAGTCTATTTGCATTTTTTTTCTGTGATAGTTGAAGGCGATGATGACATCACATATGTCAAGAGAACATGCACCACGGCATTCCTATATCGGGCGTTGAAATCATTCCGCGCCCGTTCATTCACGCGACGCATTGAAATCACCGAGTTACGGATTTCGAGCCAACGTTGTTCAACGTCATTTTCATAATTGTATTATGTTGTTACATAAAAAAATATCATAATATTAAAATAACGTTACTATTGTATTTATTATATTATTAAATAGTTATATTATTAGTATTATATTATTAAAATAATAAAAAAACAAGGGATTTTAATAAGTGTATAAATTTAGAACGCTAGAGTGTATATGTTCATCATTGCATCAAGTTATTTTCAACTAGAATCAACGACCGAGGATTCACGGACGCGATGGATATAGCAACGGATCTTTCAGTTTGCAAGCTACACCGCGTGACGGAAGCGTAGAAACGGAAGCCTCTTTACTTTCGGTTTTCAATACTTCTCATTATCCGCCACGGTGTGCATTAACGACTCTATCTCGTGATTACCTCGCTTGCGTAATTATTCGCTTATCCTCACGGCGAGCATCCGTTTATTGCCTTCTTAATTTTCATTCCTTCGCTATGATCGCAGTTAACGCTAATCTTTTCACGCAAGAAGAAATCGATCCTGCAAAAAATAAACGCATCAAAAGAGTCATAAGAATTTACACCGTATAATTTATTTTTTATTTTTTAAATTATTACTCTTTTTTTTAAATTTGAAGTTTTATTTTATTTTAAGATATTAAAGTTATTAATTCTCTTTATGATTAGACAAATATTACTTTTTAATTTCTTTTTGGAAATTAATTGTAACAAGTATAATTAATTGCAGAATATAGACTGAAAAAATTAAGTATGTATTCATATTAAAATACGTATTTAATAATTTTAAAATTTTAATTACCTAAAAAGAATTAATTTTTATTTCTTTTATTTTAAAATCAATGCATTAAAATTTTTTTTCTTTTTTACAAAGGAAAATTAAGCACAATTTCGCAGAAATACTACTTCTAATTTAGAAAAATGAAAAATTTAGTTTTATATAAAACATATTCCCGACAAATAATAAAATATACTGCCAATTCCTAATTTAATTCGTTTAAATTGTGGCACGTAAATTATTATTGCAAAACAAGGTACCAGAAAATTGCATGAATGACGCTTTCTCCAAAATCGACGACTTTACGCGGCGGAATTTTCGAGATCTCGACATTTCGCAAGTCAATATATTATGGTCGTGGCTACGTGGGCAGTCGAATGTCCGTGTACATCCCACGCAGACTCCACCGCATTTCACACCAAATCGAGAACGGGTATTTTCTTTTCGAAGAAAAGACTGGAAATCGCGTTATACAGACATTATTGATGACCTCAATAAAAGCATTCTGAAAAACATCTATTGCACAAAAACGCATAAATTCTGCAAATCAACTATCATTGAAAACATTTATGAGAAGAATATAATTTGCTATTCTAACACAAAATCATATATCAAGGTGAAAATGTATATAAGAGGAAAGTAAAGAATAAATAATATTCAGAAAACATTATATTATTAATAAAACTTTGTATGTGGTAATAAAAGAGATTAAGAAGCATAAAGACAGTTCATAAAATAAATAAGAAACAAATAGATAAGACTATGTAATTTATGATAAAATGATTGCAGAACTTTTAAGGCTTAAAAAATATAAACACAAATTAATCAAATCTGCAAAAATTAGTTGATACTAAAATAAATTTGAAGAGCTGTTATCGCTAATAATTAAATCGCGTCTTACCTAATAAAGTATAATTTTAATATACTCGTATTGATTTCGCACAAAAGGACTATACGGGCGTATCCTGGCGTCGGTGCGATCAAAGGATCCATAATAGACGGCAAAGTCGAGGTCATTTGATGAAGCATTCGAGGTCGGGCAGAAGAAATGATTAGGGTGCTCTTAGGGTTCTTATTCGCAGGTTCCTAAGGACAACGGTTTTCAGGATGTGCGACAAGGATGGGCTGGAACAGGAATAGCAAGAATGACGTAAGCGCCCAATGTACCACACAACGCACACATTAGTCGCAGGTATTTGTACGCACGCAATCACACACACAAACACACATAAGTTCTCCGGACCCGTTCTCCAGCGTGTTAGTCGCGACGAAGAACATCGGTTCAGTCACCACTGCAAATAACCGAAGAAATCAATGCGAAACCAGCTCGCGATGTTTTCTTTCTATGCGAGGTACTTCCATCTAGAGCTTTTGCCGACGTAATTCATTACGTTGCAAGAATGCAACGGATAGACATAGATGCATGTACGGACGATTCTGAAATTTCTAATCAGAATTAAAATAAATTTTATTGCATATTTTTTTTAATCAAGTGAAGAAGCACTATTGACTTAAAATTCAAAGATAAAGATTAAATTGCAATATAAAATTGTTCAGATAAAATTATTTTTCTATATGCAATTCAGAAATCTTATATATATATAAAATTATATAAATCGAGGAGTGAATTTTGTATCTTGAAGATTACTCTGAAAATTAACAAAGAATGTTAGAAATGAGCCCAAAGGAATTCAGGCACGAGAGACTTTGCGATTAAATGCCTTGCAGGCGACAAGTCGCATAAAAAGGATGTGTCTGGAATATAAAATCGAAGTTACATTGTTAAACGTGCGACGAAAATCGCCACGACACGCAGCAACGGTGAATACGATCTTTACTTTCGCGAGCTAAATATAACTCGTTAAAAATTTCTCACACTTATTTTCACACTAGCTGTAAATAAAAAATTATATAAATAAAACATAAGATATGTATAAATATACATAATACATTTTTATATAAACATATTAAAAATATTTATAAATAAAAAAAATTATGAATTTTTGAATGCTGTAAAATAAAGATCGGATTATATTTATGTTGTAATCGCTATTTCTTTAATATCTAATTGATAATAATCTCTAAACTTTTCGTTTCATTATGCTAATATCAAAATATTAATGAACATAAAAATGAACATTTGTTATATAGATATAGAAACATGTACAGAAACACTCCAGAAACACGTTTCAATTGCATCCCACTCGCGTTACACCAGAGACTGGATTCAAGGTGATGCGCGGTTGGTACGTAAAGTGACCGGATGCACCAGTAATAATGTATCCGCTATCAAATGACTCTGTCCTTCGATATTAGTTCGCCTAGCGAAAGTCACAGGTACAATCGCAGACTAGCCGGTATCGACGACCTAATAAGAAAAGCATGACCTATTATAAATAGCCTTCCACTTCAAAGTTTCTCAAGATCAACGTACGACCTCTGTAGTGCTCGTAGGGAATCTGTGAAAGGAATTCTTGGTAGAGGTATGGCGTAACAAAAAACTTATAAAATAAAATTCAAAATTGGAACTAAAAAAAACATACTTCTTAAACTAAGGGCAAACATTGTTGCATCTAAAATTGAAAATCCAATATCAAATATATTATAAAAAAATAAATGCCACTTTTGTGTATACTCTTTTCTTAAACATCATACCATTATTTATTTGTAGGAACTGTTTTAATATCAATAATTTTGAATTTTATTAACTTCTACAATTCGTGCATAAACATGCAAATGGTTGTTGCGATCAGACTCATAATATAGAAAGTTTTGCGTAGGCCAACGTGCATAGGTGGATTGGCCTTCAAAGTCCTTCGTTGAAAAAAATCAGAATCATCAAACGCGTAGGCTTTCAGTAGGAGGAATGGAATAAAAAGCATCTGCCATTATACATAACTGTAACTACATCGATCGGGAAGCTACTCTCATGAGTGTTTCTGTATCACACAAATTTTGATACTGAACATAATTCAATATATGTATGCACTTAGTTTGCATACAAAAGAATACATATAAATGTAAAAGTGGCATTTACTTAAAAGCATTTGATAAAATTTTCAATTATATTAAATAATTGTTATATCAATCTGGAAATTATATATTATAATTCTTATTTACAAAATGGAAAAATGGAATACTTTATTATGCAATAATAAGCATACTTTATTTGACAGACATGTTTGCTTTCCGTTGCTCCTTGCGCTTCTCTTTTTCTTTAGTATCATGAACACGCCTCTTCTTTCGCAAGAGCCAGATTTGTTTGGCCCTATCCTGTCGACCTTTCATCATACTCTTGTATAATTTACGGTGTTTCTTCTTAATCATCTTCTCCCTAAGACGATATTCCTGCCTCTCTTGTTGAGCTTTCTCCCATGGATTTTCCTTCACGATCTCACCAGTCTGCACCTTCATCTTCTTTTTCTGTAAGTTTATAAATATTCATAGCAAAAATTTATTTCTTCTCTATATAATTTCAAGAGACAATTATAAATTATAATAACAAAACCTTTTGCAATTGAGCTTGTTTCTTTTCTTTTTCCTTTTCTTTCTCGATCTGCATATTATTGTCGTCTTCTTCTTCTTCTTCTTCTTCCTCTTCTTCATTCTCTTCGTCACTTCCTGAACTCAGATTGTTCTCGTCATTTGCATCAATTTTCTCTTCTTCATTGTCACTCTTATCATCATTATCTTCTTCGTCTGAATCTGCTTCCACTAGAAGTCCAAATATAAGCTAAATACAATTGTAACTTTTAGACAATACACTTATTTGAAATTGAAATCTTACAATCGTTTAATTTATAATCAGGATCCATAAGAGCACGTTCTTCTGGAGGAATATAAGTCTGATCTTGTCGGTTCTCTGTAAATGGTGAAAGATGAGGAGGAAGAACGACACCCATCAAGTATTTATTTACAGGTAATAATTCCCTTGCATTTACACTATCAAAAATCCACTGAGGTTGTACATAATATCTATAAAAAAAAGTATATTAGTAGCTTGAAAAGGTGAATTAAGAATAATATGTCAATATATAGTACCTTGATATATACTGCGTAGATAAACTTGGTCTATCTACGATTTGATGAGTTATTGTTTCATCACTCTCATCGAAAGTGGCACCAACAAATAGTAATTTATCCCAAGACACTTCTCCACCAAAGCAACGTAAAATAAATACTAAGGGTTCCCTGGGTACCTCCCTATTTATAAAGAATTTTAAACCTTTAAACAAGGTTTTCAATTTCTGTTTTTTCTCAGCTTCTACCCTAGCAGCTTCTATTTTGGTGGCATCTGTCTCCTAGAAAGATATAATCAATAATAATTACATCTTATATGGTCACATTTTTAAAAAGCAAAATTAACAATGTTTAAGTTTACATTTGAAAACTGATCTAATTCAATTTCTTCATCTTCAATCGCTGATGCTGAAGGATCCAAATTGACTAATGGTATATTCAATGCGCTTATTCTCTCTGACACAAACGCTTCTTCATCGACCAATGTCTTTTCGATATCTCCTAAACAATAAAACGTTTATTTTCCGATTAAAAGAAAATTTTGCATATTTTAGAAAATGTTGATATATTAAAATATATATATAAATGTGTTGATAAACAAATCTTACTTACCAATATTAGTTAACTTGGGAGGATAATGTAAATTTAGAGTATTATACAGTCTGTAATTTACAAAACCAAGCATCACAATATAAAATTCCACAAATGTAGACATGATTTTAAAATCAACTTCATTCTTTGCTTGAGGTTCAAAACAAAAGTGATGCGGCACTATCCATGTTATTGTTTGTCCTTTTATTTCTGCTTGATAATAATATCCTTTAATGGATATAAATACTTTACGCAATGCCTTAGCAGCAACAACAGCATGAAGAAATTCAATCGTTAATCTTCTACATAATAATGATTGATCTCTTGGTATATGAGACAATGATGGGAATGTGCTGAATAAAAAGCAGAGAGTTAAGCAGTCATCTAAGTCACGCAGAGCATCTATAAAGGTTGGATAGCGTTCCTTAACTATATGATCCAGTTTCAATGTAGGATGATTGCTTAAATATTTTTTTACTTTAGCAAAATCTTTCATTGCCTTTGCTCGTCCAATTCTTCTGTTGAATATCTAAAAATATATTTATAAAATATAATTGTGCAAACATTTAATTTCAATAAATTATCATACCTTGTAATCTCTTAGTTTCCATATGATTGGTTCGTGCATCAAAAATTGGATATCTTTTATATGATATAAAGTTTTAATGCCAGTGTCACCCTTCTGTGCTCTTTTACGATTGCGTGGTTCCCTTGGATATATACCTTTCAGTATACATAACTTACGGAAATCATTTAATGTCAACTGTAATTTTCTAAGAGCAGCTCTTCTTGTTATGAACTGTGCTCCCTCGCCACTCTGATACTGTAAATTTAAAAGATATAATAATATTACTAAATTAATCAGTTTTGTATAAATTTTAATGTTAACATAACCTCAACTATCTGTAACAAAATATATGATGGTCAATAAAAAAAATTGACTCACCTTCTTTTTACCAAACACAGCCATAGCGATTTATTAATGTTTTAAGTTTTATTGTGAATACGAAAATTATTTAGAAACATTGAATAAAAGATATAAAATGAAAAATCACAAACACGTGCAAACTCCAGCTCGTATCGTCCAGATCACATTAGTGCATTAAATCAAATATGGCGGCCGGCGACCAATATGTGCCATCTAGCGGAAACAGTTATTTGAATAACTAAAAAGCTGCTATATCCTAAAAAATCATTAAAGTTATCAAATACATTTAAAAAAATAAATATATTTCAAAATTATACCAATATACCTATATACCCATTATACCCAAAATATACCCATTTCAAAAGGAGGTAGCAAGAGTCATAACATATCTTTCGATATCCTCAAGTTGCCATAATATATTCCGTTGATAATTTTGACAAGCATATTTAGTGGGCAACATGAATCTTATAGAACATTGTGTAAACCATGAAACATAAGACTATTACTTACATTTGCTAAATTAATACAAAGATTATTTTTTTATCATTAACATATTTTTTTGATTGCGCACAGCACAAATATATACAAAATTGTTTATATATATATCAATAGTATTCCTAATTTTCTTCTGAATCGCTACTATCATCACTTTCATCTTCTAATTCTGGCATAGGAAAACGTAATAAAGCTGCTATGCCAGTTAGTTGATCTAATTCTGAAAAAATCATGTTTTAACATATTAATCAAATATCAAAACTTTTGTATTTTACAAATTTAATTAATATTATTTATATAACTTACGTTCACCCGAGACGTGTAAACTTGAAAATATTTTGACATCGCCACCTGAATCTTTAACATTTTCAACTAATTCAACATATTCCTTCCTTAATGCAATGTCTTGACATCTAAACAATTGGATGGAAACAATAAAATGCATTATAAAATGAAATAATTAACTAAAATCAATATTAAAATAAGTAAGAAGTAAAGCACACAATTACCTGAATAATTTATCTGATATAAGTAAAGTCTCCACTGCTTGAGCAGCGCTGGCTTTTTGAACGTGCTTTTTGCCATAAAATGCTCTAGCAGGATCCATCTGCAGAGTAGTATAAAATGCTTCTAGAGCTCTTACTTCTCCTGCTGCTTTGGTATCCGAAATTCGAGAGACTACAGCAGGATCAGCTAGAATCTCTGTTATCATAACACATTAAAGTACAATATAATAATAAATATACTTCATAAACTTTATGTTTTACAGATATATATATATATATATACACACACACACACACATACACACACACACACACATTACCTTTTAATGAATGTTTAAAACCTGAACTAGTGTGAACTAGCAAAAATTTACTTTTATTCTCTAAAATAATTTTATTATCAGATTTAACAGCTTGTTGTATCATGTAATCCATAAATTGATCTTTCACAAAACCAGGACTGGCTAGTATAACACATTTCACTAGATCAAAATTGATGTGTCTTAATATACCTTGCATAATGCTCTCGTAAAATCGTGTTAAACCCTAAAAATATATCTAGTTTGTTGCATAAAATTTTTATAATACTAGCATAACATTTCAAAACATTTCAAACCTTTTCATGTTGCGAAACATTTCCTTTTCTTTTTCTTGGTATAACCTGATCGATTTTAGCACGAACTATTGTCATGTTAGAAGTGATCGATTTTAGCACGAACTATTGTCATGTTAGAAGTTATTAAGCAAATTTGTGCTATACCTTCTTGCATAATTGCAGCAGCAACATCAGCATTCTGTAAAATAAAAAGAAAATAGTTATAGTAAAACGCAACTTCACTGGTTTGTAAATTGTTAACCTGTGTAGGATCACAAGCTGTGTCGACTCTTTCCAAAGAAATAGAATCCCATTTAGCTTTAATAATAGTAAACTTTCGATTTTGTTCAACATCCAAGGTATGATATGCTCCTGTCTGTATAAAATAAAAACCAAACAACTATTATAGGTAAAATTATTTTCATGTTTAACTCAATATTTAGAGCAATAATTAAGACTTGTATTGCTAAATATATTACATATATAGATTGTGTTCTAATAAAATGTGTTCTAATAATGCTAAATATTTAGCATTGGTATGAAAAATAACCTTTTAAAAACTACAATTAAATTTTAAGAATTATTATAAAATATTACCTTAACATATTTATTTTCTTCCACATTTCTACCTTTAAGTCTTAGAACACATGCTTGCGTATCAAAATCAATATTTTCTACACTTATAGTAAGAGTAGTTCTAACTCTATAACTATTAGAACTGCCAGTTGCAGATTCTGTTTGCACCTTTCTATATTAGACACAAAGAGTTAGTAAGATAATAAAAAAATATTATTTATAACACTATTAATGTAAAATAAAAACTTAGACATACCTAAAAGTCGAACAGCTTACAGAATCTCCTTCACTAATGAGATTATAGGCATGCCATATGTCCTCTGTATTTGCAGGAACAAGAGACACGCTCCTAAAAACATGTTAATTTTAGCATTAAATTCAGATTTAAGTAATATATTTCATCCAATTTATTATATATTTACCCTTCTCCATCTTTATCTACATTCTTTGATACTAGTTTCATCTTGAAGAATACTTTTGTCTTATCTAAACATAAAAAGGTAAGGTACATTTCATATAAATGTACGTTTATTCTTATAAAATTAAATTTTGTATATTAAACTTAATATAAATATATGTCCATCAACATTTTATTTTATATCAAAATATTTACATTTGATAGTTTTATTACTAAAAAAAATAAAAATTATTATTTTATAAAAGAAAAATAAAGGATCACATAGGTTAACCCGTAATATCTTATTTGAAAACATATAAAAGATTTTATAAATTTACCTTTTCATTTATTGCACAATTATCTTTTTAGAAACATTATCCAATTCATGTTTTACTTTTATTCGAATATTGCTCAATAAATTATTCCATATGTCAAACATGACACTTATCCTTTTTTCGTTCAGCGGTTTCAATCGCAACGTGAATGGATAGATAACCTCAAAATTATCTTACATATAGCGTTTATTGGCCGACGTTAAGAAAACACGATTGTGCAATCTGTCAGCGGAAAGCAATTGCTTATTAACAAAAATGGATACAGAATATCCATTTATTAATATAAAATCTTAAAAAAGAATATTAGTTACATAAGTAACTGTAATTATTCATACTGTAGTGTAATTATTAATATATTAATATACAATTCTCTCTATTCCTTTTTCCCATTATTTCTAACTTAATAAATATTAAATACAAATATATTATTAGTTTATTGATATTAAACCATGAATATAACAATTATTTCTCAGAATCCATTTAAACAACAGATTAATAGCATTATTCTTTTAACAGTCATATATATTGATACATATAATTTTTTATCTTTAAGTACTCGCATAATACAAATTACATAAATAGGTACTAAGGCAATAGATTTTCTTCCAAATTACTTAATTCCTGAAATAAAAAAAAAAATTATCAATAAAAAACTATAAATAAAACTTTCATTTTTTGTTATTACAAAAAATATAGAAACAAATAGATTAAAGTGATTAAATATATATATATTACAGTCTTATTTAAACATTTTGGATAATTTCTCTTTTTGTGCATTGTCTTTTTCTTTAATGGCTGTTGTAAACGCTTGCAATTCCTTCTCAACGGAATTGTGTAAAGTAGAATCAATCTCAGCAGCTCTTCTTAAATCTTTGTTGGCATTCTTTTCATCCCATACACCAATATATGCTTTACCTCTTCGGTACAGCGCTTTTACATTATCTGCAAGTTAAAAATAAATGTTTTATTAGATATTGCTTTTATACAATTTGTTGCTGATCCTATAATAAATTTGCTACATACCTGGTTCTGTTTTTAGAACTGTTGTGCAGTGTTCAATTACTGAATAAAACTCCTTATTTATTAATTTACATTGCGCATAATTCAAAAGTAATGGTAACTTCATTTGATTCAAAGATAACCATTCTTTATCATTTGGTTTTTCACTAAAAAGTTATGTACAAAAATATTGTTAAATTATATAATGTAATTATTTTATAAAAACTTTATTCTAATTTTAACAAGCATAACTTATTGTAGGTAAAACTTACGCTAACATGAGTTGTTCCAACATTCCAATGGCTTTTGCATATATTTCAGATGCATCATCATATTTCTTTTCTCTGAATAAAGCATTTCCTTTCTCCTTTAAATGTGGAATATTTTCAAGTTTCTCATTTTCTGTCATTTGCCATGTTTCTTTCTCATATTCATGTGGCAATATCACTTCGACAAGTTCTATAAAATACAATAATAATGCTTTTGTTAATCTTATTGTTTTGTGTATATTTTATATTTAAATTTAAATACATATGTATATACTTCTCTGAAAAAAAGTGTTAGAAAAATATTTAAAAAGTATAATGAAAAAACATTCTAAAGTATAAAACTTAAGTGTATAACTTAAAAAGTATAAAAAGCAAAGAGTTTTAACGAGCTAGTACATTGATACTATATCATACATACCTATTGTAAATTCTAAATCTTGTGGATATTTTATAAGTTCATTCAGATCAGCATAACCAATGCCTTCATTTTGAAGAGTAACACCGCAACAATGATGATTTTGCTTCTGGGATTGTGGCTTTCCACTCTCTCTTAATGTTTTGGAGACAAAAGGGTATGCGGTCACTAGCTAAAATAAGATTCATCATAAAAACATCCTTCAAAATAGATATATAATTCTAACAATAAGTAATAGAAACATACACTTTTATGCACTTTAAAATGGGCAACTTCATTTAATGCCATTTTTTGTATAATTGCCTCCCATACTTCTAATTTGAATTTTTTTCCTAATACCAATTCCATCATATTTTCCATTGTTTTACTGTCATCTATCACTGTTTTATCAGAATCACATTTTGTAGTTTTAAAGTGAAATTTGACCTAGAAATATAATAGTTATTGTAAGAAACTAATAAAGATTTGTATAGATGTTTGTAACAATGTTTAGAACTATACATAATTGTATAACAAAAATAAATACAAAATGCATACCTTTGTTCCTGGTAGAAAATTAATAGTTTTTGTTCCAGCATGAAGAACGGTTTTCACTATGTATTCTGTGTCACTCATTATGATAGCATATCTAGATAATAACGATTAACTAATACGATACATTAGCTAATAAAAATATTTCGATACTCAATAATAAAAAAAAACAACAAAATGTATAACTAGTTTTTATTATATCCTAGAAAATTTAGAGTGCAACTGATTAGAAGCAGTATGCAAAGTTTTCATAACCTTAAAAGTTTACTTGAAGAGAAAACAAAATATTAAAATTAATTTTAATATAAAACAATACTATATTTCCTTAAATACTTATCAATATTATTATTATATTAACATAGCAATTCAGTATTAATTAATAATCATTCAACTTACATTACAAACTGTTTATTTCAAGCTACATATGTGTCATTTACGATCTCGTAACAGACATCATTTTTATCTATTGGACAAAAAGCTGTCAAGAGTAATCAATAAAAGAATAATCAATAAAAGTTAAACCAAGATTTATTTCTCTCAGTTGTATTTTTATGTGGTCTGTAAAGTATTTTTTGCAAATATAAATGTGCAATTAAAAAAATTAATAAATTTTAATTTTTTTTATTAATTATTCGATGCAATTGTTTTTATTCAATATATAAAAATGATATATATGACACAAGACAATAAATAAAGTAATTGTTTGCATAATGTGAATTTATTAGGAATTTAAAAATATCTGTATATAACGTCACACAAAAACAAATTTTTGATCAAAATAAGTAATTTTTATAAAGTAAGCAAACAAAAGCACAATTATTTTATGAAAAAGTTCCGATTTTGTTCGCAGTTCGATTCTATGTGAATCGTTCGACCGTTATTTTGGATTTCGTAAAAATATGTATGTTGTATATATTTTAATTAATTTGTCCTATAAATTTATTTTGAAAAGTTTATTTTATTACTCAGAACGATACCATACATTGTTATTTGCAAATCAGCTTGACTTTGGAATCAATGACACAATGCTATGTTAATTCAATATCATTAAACTATGCCCTCGATTTATCACGAATAGCACGCGTGTTTCCGGATTATAAAGTGCTGACATGGATATCAGAGTACGTATATAGACATCTTTACTTCTTGCAGTAATGTTTTTCGTTGCTTGAATCACATATTGAAATAGTTAAAAATATATTTTTTTATATCACTTTACATGCAAAGATCACATCGTTCAATAATGCCAGAACCGGTTTTAAAAGATGAGAATTGTGCTTTTACATAATACCAAATAATAATAAATAAAAGAAACTGTTTTAACGCTGTTTCTTTTTCATATTTTTATTTCAATAGACAAATAGCAATCAAAGAGCATCTCTTCAATCTAGAGCTCTTTTTTAGATTTTTTGACGGATCACGCAATTCTCGATTAAATTTCTTTTTCTTTTTTTTTTTTACTATCCTATAGAATAGCATGTGTATTGCACAAAGCGCAAAAACAGTTTAGATCAACACATAACTATTCATAAGATAAAAAACTTTTACCCTTTAACTTTATTTATCTCCTACTAAAAGCATATGACATCATATGCTTTTATGTGATAAAATTTAAGAAGTTGGGATTTGCGTTCATAAATATATGTTAATTTAATTTTGTTTTCGCTCACCTTTTAACGGAAATTTCTTCTAGAGACGTTTAGTAGCGATAGTACACCTAAAAGGAACCTAATAAGAAAAAGATTAAAGAATAGATTTTCAGAATTTGATTAAAGCGCAAATAGAAGAACTTTGGTTGTTACATCTGATAAAGATAAACATACCTGCTATAAGTAAATAAAACAATTAGCATTCTTGATTTTTTTTAACTAACAATAAGTTGTGTATAGTTTGTTCGAAAATCGTTCTACATGTTCACGTGAAAATCAGCCATGCGTCTCATGTAAATTTATATTTAGTTGGACTTGTGATTGGTCAAGTTTTTTCATGCACATATATTATATGTCATTACGTATGTGTAAGTTGCTGGATGTACTTTCACTTGTGCTATTCTTTAAACTTGTGTTGTCATCGTACCACGTTGGATTTTACAAGAAGAAAGAATTTACTTTTCATCCCCAAATACATAAAATATGTGAGTTTTAAAAGAATTATTGTTAAAGTCTTTCTAATATTAAAGTCTATCAAAATTGATTCAAAACCAAAATCTATTCTTGATTGTTATCTAATCTTTTTCAGCTGACAGTGATTAAAGATTTTATAAACGACACGTAATTCATCAAGCAAGTATAAATAAGCGTAAATTTTAATTGTTAAAGACTGAAATGGATTCCAATCAGACGAGTAACTCTGCTGACAATGCTATACAATCCAATGGATACAGAAAAGAAGGTTAGTTCAACATTATTCTTAGAATAACTTATAAGTTAAAATAATATTAATGTAAGAAACATTATGGTAATAACTAAATATTCTTTCACAGTTGCGAAAGAAATCCTAATACCGATGCCATGGGGTCATATTAGCGGTCAGTAAAAGTTACATCTTTTTAAATCTTGATTTATGTCTTATATCATATTAGTTTAACGTTATTTTGAAATCAGAATCTTATCAATCTTATTAGTTAGTTTTATTCTGTACGCATAAAAGGAAAACACGGTTATATGTTTAGATTTCTAACAAATCTCTTGTAGTATTGTGATTACAAGATATTGAGATATAAATTTAAAAATACATATCAGTTTCTATGAAATTATTACTTCAAGCTCAATATATTGGTAAATTTAGGACAATGGTGGGGATCATCAGATGAGCAACCTATAGTGGCCATACATGGCTGGCAGGACAATTCAGGAACTTTTGACAACTTGGCAAAATTGTTGCCGTCAAATATAGCTATACTAAGCATAGATCTGCCTGGTCATGGCTTTTCTTCTCATCTACCAGATGGACAATTCTACTATATATTTTGGGATGGGATTGTCATACTGCGTAGAATTATTAAATATTACAAGTGGAACAAGGTTAGCCAGCGAGTCAATGTTATACAACGATTTATATCTACTTATATCAAATCAAATACAAAAATAATACATTGGATATATAAGAGCATGGATTTTACATACTTAAAAATTTTTTTTTTAATGCAATTGCAATTGCATTTTATTTTTATAAGTTGTAAAATATGTAAAATTAATTTTTTTGACATTAATTTATATGAATTTATATTAACTGTTGCTACTGATTATTTAACTTACATATATTATTGGCTGGGATTATTTATAAATGATATTTATGTTGCATTTAACACGGAAATAGAATACATTATTAAATTCATCATTTAATATCCATATTGCATTACTTATAACCATTATAATTATTATCTTAAAAAAGGCTGACTGTTATATGTATGCATTATACATTTAAACGATTAATTTATTAATTTAAATGATAGCATGTTGATTATTAAAAATAATCAATATAGATCAAATATAGATTTAAAAAAGTATCGTTGTATAACTACATATTGTACGTCTCACATTGAGTCCTTTTGAACAAAAAAGCTTTTTTAACTCAGCTGTAACTTTGTTGCATTTTCAAAGATTTTGGACAATTTTTTTATTTAACAAACTGCCACAAATTCTTGAGAATAATATCTATCCTTATCAAATGTCATAAAGTGAAAGATAGAGACAAAAAAATAATTATGGGACTCTTACCTGCAGGCAAATGGTGGGGTCCTAGAGAGCTCCAACCGATAGTGGCATTGCATGGTCGTCAAGATAATGCAGGAAGTTTTGACACATTAATACCATTGCTTCCCGATGATGTTTCTGTTCTTTGCTTGGATATGCCAGGGCACGGTTTATCTTCACATTATCCAACGAGCCAATTCTATTATGTCTATTGGGATGGTATCATATTTCTGCGTAGAATCATAAAACATTTCCAATGGAATAAGGTTAGCGAGTGGATAAATTCCACTCTATTTGCAATGGAAAATAGGATTAATAATATTAAATGTGCACTGCACAATGTTTATATGTCTCACATGTATTGCACATATCTAACAGTCACCTTATTTGTCCTTACAAAACATTTATATTGTGTTTTACTTAATTCATGCATGCATTTTATAAGTATGGGAATTTTATTAATGTGAATATTTTAATATGTGTTTTAATATGTTTAAAATGCACACACACACACATAAGCATAATTTCATACAGCATTTAAAATATAATTGTTGTATATGTGTTAAATGATATGAGCTTATTGTAATTTAATTATATTATGAAAATAGGTAAGATTGCTCGGACACTCACTGGGTGGTGCTATAGCCTTTTTATATGCAGCATCATATCCTGATGAAGTGGATGCGATTATAAGTTTGGATATTGCTAGTCCGAGCGTAAGGGATATCACAAAAACAGCTGCAGTCACTGGAGAATATATTGATAAATTTTTGAAGTATGAAATATTAACACTGGACAACATTCCATGTTATGAATACAAAGAAATGATCGACATAGTGGAAAAAGCATATGGTGGTTCTGTAACAAGAGAAGCAGCAGAAATCTTAATGAAGCGTGGTATGCAACCATCGTATGAAAAAGGCAAATATTACTTTTCCCGCGATTCAAGATTAAAGGTAAAAAGATTTTTCTCTTGCATAACATATTACTTACAAAGAATTAAAATCATCAAATTTATTATTCTTGAAGAATAATGATAATATGTCAAATTTAAAGTTATTTACATTATTTTCAGGTTTCCCTTTTGGGCATGTTATCCCTAGATTTAGTACTCGAATACGCATCCCGAATAAAATGTGCTTATCTCAACATTCGTGCTGTTCCTGGGATGAAGTTTGAACAACCTGAAAATTATCAGAAAGTATTAGATAATATAAAAGTAGGAGCTAGAAAGTTTGAATATCATGAAGTGAAAGGCACACATCACGTGCATTTAAATGAACCTGAACAAGTTGCGCCTATAATTAAGAAATTTTTACAGAATTTATAACAGAATTTATTTATTAATAAGTGTAGTTACTTAAGACAAAGCGACGAGTGATCACTAGGAAATTTGTCTGAAACCAAAATGCATATAGCGATGCAAATTTATATTTAACGCACATATACTTGCATTGCATCGACAGATTTTGCAACAAAATTTCGAACAAAATGCTTAATATAAATTATTAATTAGCAATAATAAGTAGTAATAGTAATGCAAAAAAAAACATTGTGATGATTAATAATTATCATTGTGTTATTCTGCTATCACGTATACAGTAATACAAAATTGATATAAAAGTAAAAGCTTTGGAACAACAATTAAAAGAAAGACTATGTGTATAAATAATGCAGGTAAACTAAAGACATCGAGACAAATATGTTCAATAAAAATTTCTTGTTCAGCTTTGTATGTTGTTGCCTGTATATCAGAATAAATAAATTATTTAATGTTAATTTATGTAATTTATGTAATTAATTCTATTGAGACAAAAATAAAATTTACTTTTTATGAATTTGTAACTTTTTAAAAATTAATGTATTTCGATAAAAGCACTTTTATAGTCGATCTTAATGCATATAACAATTACTCTTACATCGTTGCATCATTTATAAAATAATCTTTTACATGAATTTAACATGCTTGCATATAAATCCTTGATAAAGAAAAAAAAAGAATTTACCTTGAAGTTGAATATATGACTTAGATTATTTTTTTAATTTGAGAAAACATATAATACTTTTCTTGGATTTTTAAATATTTTTCCTTCACTTACATAATGTAACAAAAAGTTCAAGCCATTGATGAATTGACTGTAAACAGAAAAATAAAATAAAAAGATTAATATGAGTATTTCATTCGGCCTATATACACCAAGGACAACAAACGTCACGTTTCAGTGATACATCGTCTATCATCTAGTGACCGTCGGGGATACCGATAATGTATTAATGCCCGACAGGTAGGTAGTTAAAATAATAAACTTGTACCACTCTCCGCTTATATAACCGGACCAACGTGGCAAAACGCGGTATTTTACATCAATTTAATAAAATATCTTACTAATTAAAAAATGTTATTTATATAATGCTTTACATAGATAAATTTTAGATGCTATAAAATAAGCTGCACATTTTTTTACGATATTGTGCAAAATCACAGAAATAATATACTAAGATTTCGATGAAAAAAATGACAATTTATGAATACATCCGTGGAGAACACACGCGGGGTCTCTGACAAATTTTAAAAGAGATGATATCTTTAAGATAATGAGAGCTTGTTGATACAGATGTGTAAAGATGTTTGCAGGCGTCACAATAGTCAAAGAAGTCACAGCATTATTGCGTTTACTCAGCTGTTATAGCCACGTAGAAATACAAAATTACATGCTGAAAACGCATTCGTCACATCTCATTTCATGTGCGTCTCAGTTCTTCTAAATGTTTTGCGGCACATAGAACGATGTTCTAAATTTCTAATATTTCACTGGCATAAAAGGTAAGTAAATCTACAAACAATATGTGGCTTTGACATTTGCATAAATCATGCGCTTCCATTGTGCATTTCAAAAAGCTGCTCGTAAATGAGGCTAACATTAAAATCTAGTTAGCATTCAGCTGCGAATCTAATCAATCGATAAATTTAACAGTGAAAAATTCATGTTTGCACAATAAATAATCCACAAAGATCAAAACTAAACTCGCGTTTACGAATCGTGTGTAAAAGAGAAAAGTGCAAAATAAATAAACCCAAGTTTGCGGCGAATTATTTACATGGACTTCTTATCAGCTCCTGAATACGTGGCCGTTCTATCATGTATGCACGTTGTGCACGCCGGTAATTATCGGCAATGATAGTGCGGTCACACATAGAAAATGAATATGAATATGGCATACATGAACAGGACACCGTTCGTCATTCGTCCACGCATCTTCCTTACGTGTCCCTCCACGCATAATTCCTTGGGAAGTTCCACGGACGGCGGATAAAAAGATCCATTAATCCGCAACGTATCATAAGGTAAGCTCAGTCACGGTGGAGTCCTTAAAACACATTTGCCTTTGTAATGAATTGTTGCGACCTTTGAACGGATAGATTAGAGTGCAAATTTGCTTCGCTAGATTTTAGTTTGCGGTTTATACATCGTCGGAAACCAAGAAGCCGACCGCAAGTACGTTTACCACAGATTATAATTTAACATTATTCAAGTTGCAATATAATACAATAGTGATATATTGTATCGTGTGTAGTGATAATCATTGCGAGCACATGATTCGCAGAAAATGTGTGTAAGCTGCTACTTTATATTATTTTGCTTTTTGCTTTTATTCTTACTTTAAAAATTAATAGCTATTTTTTGCAAAAACTTGAATCCGATCGAAAATACGGACAAATAGAACTGAACATCCGAGTCGCGAAAATTGTGCTCCCGTTTTTATACAGTTTATTTATATACCTATTCTTACTTACAAAGCATGAAGATTAATGCAGCTATTGCAACATAGACACGCAATAATCAACCTGATTCATCGATCCCAACGATCAATAAACTTTTCATTTGGAAGTTTGTTCGTTCGGCTCGAGTTATCAAGTTGAAACAATCATCAGCGAATGTTGATCACACAAAAGTTCGGAGCGCTTCAAGATTCCGTGTTTTGGACTTTCCTGCGAAGACAATTCCGATAAGCCAACGAAATCTGTTGCAATTCCGCATAGGTCGGCGTGTAAGATGCGTAAGTTCTCAAACGTGCTCTGGACATCTCCAAATCCTATTACAAAATAATATGTAACTTTTCAATTTTGCTAAAGTTCTTAATATATAATATTTTTATTGCAATATGCATAAATATATTTTTACGAGCATTCTGATTTATACCTATAATATTGATCTTTGAATTGAGAAAATTGCTTTAACATTTATGATAGCATATGGTCAAAAATATTCTTAATTATAATAAATGATAAACTTTCAATTGTGATAAATATAACAAAATAACAGTAAACTGCTAATAAAATAATTGATAAATCATAAATAATTTCAAAGTGGCTGATATAATTCGAATTTTATATAAATTTAACATTGCTATAAATAATATTTTCTTCATATCTTTTTATATAATAAATATATAACAAATAATTTTATTATATAATGTTTATATAACAAATATAACAAACCTTTAAAAGAGTCTGATTACGAATGCGAGATTTTTGCAGGTTTATAGGGAGATTTGTTGATGATGAGTCATAAATCCTGGAAACATTCCCATTGCGAATCTCACGACGTAATTTATTACTGAAAAATAAAATAAAATGTAATGTTACACGTGTTCAAAAATCTAGATACATATTGTCTGTAACATATTTATAGCAAAACTTAGACTTTAATGTAAATACCGTTCATCTATTTCTTGTTCGAATTGTTGTTCTTTTTGCAGGTATTCATCAAAAACGCTTCCAATATCAATATTCCTCGTCATTTCATGGAATTATTATGGCCCATATGCGAATACAATTATCAATAACCATTAACAATTAATTATCAATTAAAATTAATCTTTCATTATTTACTAAAATTATTTACTAAAATTATAAAGAAATGTAGAAAAAAAATTGTTTTATATTAAGTGTTGTATTGTAAATTGCACGATTTCCACCACGGTTTTTACGTCATGGTTTCTACGGCAACGTGCAACGTAATGCTCGTAAATGCTCGTAAAAGCAATCGATATCTATATACATATATGAACGACAGCAACAGCACAATAGCTGCCACTTAATATTCTTCAAAATTTTACAATGTTCCAATATTAGAATATTTCTCTTAAAAGCTATGATAAAAAGAATAGATTAAAAATAAGTTATATTTAACAAATATATATATATTCACAATTCTAGTAAATATAGTACATATATATTAGCTTACTTAATTATTTGTGCAAAATATAAATCCCTAGTCTCGTAATACAGTTTGATAAGAGAAGATATAATTGTTTCCTTTCTTTTAAAAAAAATCTCGACACTGATTTCGTTTATTCTTCTAAAGACTGCGATTTCGGCTGCAAAAATATTACGTATTACAATGTAATATTATTGAAGCATTGATGTGTTGTTTTCACTTACCAGTATATATATATGACTCGGCAATGAACGCTCAACTATCTCTGATAATCGTCCTTTACCCAGCTTGTGTTCCTCATCTGTAAGCGGAATAAATAAAATAAATGCAAATATATATTATTAAAAATTCTCTAATTATTTCATAAAGCATATGTCATGTACCTGCAGGTACAGTTAGTGATAACGTTGGGAGAGCAACAAAACCAGCTACCAGTGGTCGTAAAATCCAATCAACTTTTCGAACATTCCTAGGCAATACGTTAATGTCAACCTAAAAAAATATTTAACAAGAGCATCACATATATTGTAAAATGTAAAATACTTGTATATATGCTTGATAATATATACTTGTTTTTGCCCAGCGAACATGAAGGCATCACTGCCTTCCATAGTCAAGCGCAAAGTAATGAGGTAGTCGGAACGATTTGTTATAAAATACGATATAGAAAATGGTGTGCGAACCCATCCGTGGGCTGGCATTTTGGCTTCTAATCCGATTACCGAATCTTCGACCCACAAAGGAGCTAAAGTTACGCTGCTGCTAGTTTCCGGGGCGGTTTCATCGTTTGCTCTGTGAAAATAATGGAAGTTACAGACATATCACGTTATAGAAAATCTTCCACCAATCACTTTTACCTCTTCCATTTAATAGTATATATTCCAATGCTAATAGGCTGCTCGCCGCCTGTCTTAGGAGTCAAGATATAGATGTCGGTCCCCGATTCACCGTCGCAGAGTGTAAGATCCGTTAAAATAGACTCCTTTTCGTAAGTGTATTTCTCCATTTGAATACAATCTCCCTAATTTCGAGAATGACATTCTAATTTCTCTATATATATAATATATAACTTGTAGAAATAAATTAAATATATAAATTCTGCAGACATACCACTTCTATAGATGTACTTAAAATCTTTATGGGCCACGGAGAAACACATGTGATATGAGGCATAATTAGAAGACGTTCATTAATAAATCCTTTCTTCAGTGGCTCAAAGAATGTGGTGAAAAATTGTGTTGCAACTTCAAATGGTTTCTTAACTGCCAACGAATACGTTAATTCTTTACTTCCCTTAATTTGGTCAGGTCTAGAATAGTCAGCCTGTAACATAATCATAACAAATGATAAGAAAACATTAAATTCCGATAATATAACAATTGATATATTAATTTATAAAGAAAATGTAATATCTGTACCTTTATCATGAGATTTCTATCGCCTATTTTATGTGCTCTAATGTATACATTATGTTTGGCTGAAGAATCTTTTTCCATGTCACCAACAAGGATTGATACTTTCGACTCCTTATTAAGCATGTTTACACTTAACTCAGCTAAAATATGCATTTTAGAACATGTTAGTTGATGAAGAAAGAGCGATATCAAGTCAGACATAAAAATATTAATTTAAAAATAAAATATTATAAATGAAAACGTACTTGATTGTTCGTTGCTACCATCTGCTACAAGTACTACATGCAAACAGACTGCATTAATACTTTCGTTAGCTGATAGGCATATCGTAATGGGAAGCCACTCGCCTAAAAGCGCTGGATTATTGGATTCTGCGTTTATATTTAAACTCGATTCTTCCTGCTTTATTTCCGCGTGAATTAATGATCTTATCGCCTCGAATTCTCCTCCGCTACAAACAAGAATGTCAGTTCTTTCTAATGATACAAATATTAAAAACCGTTCTTCATAAACATACCGAAGTTGTTGTATTTCGGGGTACAAACGATCCAACACATTCGTTTCTCTACCCACGGCTGAGAATCGCAGTATAATACAACAGTGTGCACTATCACCCATTTGTAACGAGATTGTACTAATACGAATTTCTACACCATCATTTTGATAAGGTGCTTTAAAATGAAAATAAAACTTTTTCATTTCTTTTGCTTGGAAAATAAGATCAGATGTTTGAGTATCGCTAATTGGAATTTCAGCATTATAAGCTGGACCACTGACTGTTATTGACACATTGGAAAATTGAATAACACCGCAATAAGAATTCCTACAAATAAAGAGATCGTTATAAAATTACTGTAATTTTTAAAAATAAACTTTCTAATATAATTAAATGATATTACCTTATGATAACTTCCACTGTTATCATTGTATTCACTGTATATGCCCGCTGCAGAAATCGTGTTTTAAGATCGATGAATGATGTCATGTTATTGTCATCAATTGTAAAAATACTTGGCTCTGGACGACTTAGTTCCATTATCCATTTTTCCATTGCAAGATGCTTAACATCTTCTGGCAAATCTGGCTCTGGATTCGGTGGTTTTTTCTATTATCAAATGTAAAGCGATTGTTGATTAGCATGCTATATACATTATATAATATTCATTATATAGCTAATATAAATGCTTTTCCAAATTACTTGTAGTATATTCATAACATTATTATAAATAACAGCTTGTCGCTCTTTTGAAAATGTAGTCGAGGATCCTAAAGCTTCAAGTGCTAGAGTAAGATAATCTTGAATACTGGTCGACAGATATGCAGCTCGCAACGCATTCTTTAGGATATCTGTAAGTAAAACTGGCCACCGTTCTCCATGATATTCCCACAACATATGCATCAATAATCTGTGCAATCAAATTTTACAATTATTATATTAATACAAGAAAATGATCTAAAAAAAATATTGCCAAAATTTTACTTCTCAGAGACTTTTATCATAAAAAATAATTCTAACTTACGTAAGAACTTTGCCATAATCCCGAGCATTAAAGTACTCCTCTGCCATTTGCACAACTATAAAGAAGAATCTTATGAGAATTTTATAAATATATTATAAATAATTATTGTTCCAATTTCTAGAATCATATCTACCTAGTAATCGTCGCATTCTTGGACAACGGTATACTTTAAATTGCGATATTGCGTTTCCTAGTAAACCTATAATTATCATCTGAAAAAGATTCTGATTACAGTGATTTACTTGCTTCTCGTATGAAAGTATAATTAAATGTGTTTATCTTACAGAATGATTAACTGCAGTTTTCTCTCTGTACTGTAAAGCCTGTATACCAATGGCTTCTCTGGCTGTGTCTGCAGGTTCTGCACTTAGTTTGCCAGGTCGCCATGGTCGTTGCCCATAAAATTCAAGTTTCTCTTCGCCTGATAAAGGATCTGGATCTGGATAACTGTTCACATTCTAAAACATTCAAGCACAATAATGTAAACACTTCGAAAAACCTAATATATTTGCTAGAAAATTAAATTATGTTTACCTGGCAGAGTTCTTTACACGCAGATTGTCGTAAACCTGCATGATTTGCAGCTAATTGGAAATAATATCCTGGATGTTGAGTTTGAACAGCAGGTAATCCTTGACGAATAGCCTCATCAAATAATTCTGCAAATGTAGAGAACTGGCTGCTCATCCAAGCATGATGCTCAAACATAAGTTCCTTTGGACCAGTTTTTAGCTTAAATCTGAGAAATATCAATCATTATTGTCAAAATTTTTCCAGCACAATCGTAATAATAAATATTCATACCTTTCTGTATGAAGTCTAAACTGAGAAATGGCATCTTTTGGAAGGCTTGCACTAAACATTATTCGACACAATTTGTAATTTATAAAACCGGCAACAGTTTTTATCTCTACTGCATTTGCATCTGTCATTCTTGTTTCTAGCAGATTGTGATAAGCTTGCACATAATGCCTATAAAACATTCATATGTATATACATATCTTATGATACTCAGAAACTCTTTATATTTTTCATCTTACTTTTGAGCAATAAGCAATTCTTGCTTGAGTTCATTTAAGAATGCCATTTTAAACTGATGACGAACAAATAAATATTGATGGACATTTTTAGTGAGTTGATCGCGATGACCTTTAACATTCCGATATTCATGATGATAAAAATTTTGTGCCAAATCATAGAATGCTGTCTCTAATCTATAACAGATAAAATATTAGATTATTTTTGCTAAAACAGAAAAGTAAAAGAGTAAGGTTATAAAATAAAGCACCTAGATATATATCCTAATAAATGATCGGCATGCGGCAAGATATACAAGAACTTGGCTGGCAAATCACAAGCTCCACACAGTGCTGTTGCACGCTCAGTTGCAACCACATCTTCGGCGCCAGGAAGTGGTTGCACAGCATGTTGTATCAATACTACAGCTATTTTTGTACTTCTTCCATCCAAAGCAGCTCTAAAAGAAATATTTATCACTAAATCTAATATGCTATATCAAAAATATAACAGTGAAATTAATATGTTATTACCTTAAAGATTGCACTCTAGAAGCACACTCCATTTTCTTTTCATTCCACAAAGGATCATTCCAGTCTAAATCATAGAACACAACAACTACGGAAGGAATGTCATTAAGATATTTGTTCATCCAATTCCTTTTCAAAATCCCTTTAGGTATATACCATTCATATGAGCTACGCTAAAATATATAAAAATAATATATAGTAATATCAAACAATTAGTTCCAAAATTTGACACATTTCTCATAAATAATCTCAATCAAATGTACCTTTGGTTTAACAGTGGGAAATTCATGCGATAAACTGAGCAATTTAAACTGAACAGCTGCACAGTCCGGTCTTCTATTATTGCTAAATGCATCCCAAATAGAACGATGTACTGGATTTGCAATATCTAATCCAGTTAAACCTATTAGAGCTAAAGGCTTAGCTGTCAATTCTGCTGGCAACTCAAACATTATTAAGCTTTTTCTGAAAAAAGTAGATAGTAATCAAGGTACAACGTACAACTCATAAATTTCGTATCATATAATATTACACGATAAAACAACACTTTCAAAACAATACTTGTTATATCATTATAAGATTGATAGATTTAATCTTTTAATATCTTCATTAATATTAGATTCATATTTTCTTATGTAAATACCTGTTATTAAATAAACTACATAGAGTAATACGTCGCTAAAACAAATTGTTTTATGATTAAACACCGTAATCAATGTATGCCATTCGTATTTTGACAGTTTAGGTTTAGGTTATAAATTGTCATCAGCAATACATCAGGTTAAGTTAGGATTATTTGATGTAGGAAACGAAACACGCAGTCGCAATTTAAATCGATATAAAGAGGGAGGATTATTTGATTTTGAAATATATATTGACGATTAGAATTTTCAATATATTATACTTATCTGCACTATAACTAAAACTAATTATTCAATACATTAATTTAATTCCATTACATACAATTTTCACATTATGGATGCATAATAATGGTTCTTTGATCTTTGATCTGGATGATCTTGAATATGTAATGTAATTATGCAATAACTTGGCGCTCTAGCATAAAAGCAGTAGCATCTGATAAATTTTCTTCTGCTTTAGCTTCTTTATTCGGGGACTCCGGAGAATTCAATTTGGTGTGTTCTGGCGTTAGTCGAACCGTTGTACCATGCCGGCTGTAATCTTCGATTTCACCTATCGGCTGATCGACATCTCGTCCTGTATTTTCATTACATTTTCCCTATTCACAAAAATTATAAAATTATATTTTCATCTTATTTAGGTGAGAGAAATATTCATTAATTGTGAATTTTTTCTCAATTAAAGATTATAATTTTAAGATTAATAAATGTGAATATACAAGTTTACTTGTAGAACGCGCAGTAATTCTCTTCGAAACTCTGTACTGCAGACGAGATATATAAAAATATAAATAGCATAATTGCTAAGTTCAACGATTGCCGAACACACACGAAAAGTTTGATAATTAAGATCCAATGGATGGTGATTGATGTACAACATCGGAGTGAGACTTGAAGGAACCGTCGTTACAAAAAAGCACAGAATCATTGTTGTTGTCAATATTGCTAAATGCTGCTCCTCTCTGTAAAAATAATTTATCTATTATTTTGTCTATACATTCTAATAATTTATTAATTTATTAATGATTTAAATTCTTACCTGTATCCTCGATTACGAGATAGTAACGATGTATCAGGCGCATTATTAGTCCGCAACTTGTCCGAAGCGGCATGGAATTGTCGGTTTTGTACGCTTAGCTGAAGAAATCTTTTAATGACCAAGCTATTTAGTATAATAAACAGTATCGACGGGCAAATCCGCACTATGGTTTCCATTGTCCAAATATACATTCTCCACATCGCATTCTGCGTAACAGACACGTTTTCACGTAACGTAAACGAGGCATCATATCCATCTTGTTCCGTATAAACCATCCTCATAACTGACAATGGACAACTTATCTGCAAACAAAATAAATTATGTATTTAATAATCCATTGTATAGATTTTAATACAAGATTTTTGTTGATAACGCAAAATTTCTAATTTTGTAATTTATTGGTGATATGATATTTATATTTACTACTTTTTTATTAATGATTTAAAAGATACATATGCATGCATACATAACTTAGAAATAAAGAAATTTTTATCACAAAATAAAACGTAAAAAATTATTTAATATTCTAATTTCTTTATAATAAAATTTCCACAACTATCAATAAAAAATAAGATGCTATTTTATTCAGAATACTTTACCATAAAACCAGCTATAAAAGAAGAAAGTATGGAAGAACCGACATTTTTGCGCGCGCTTCCGGTACGAATCCGTGCCGGAAAGAACACAAAAATGTATCGATCCACGATTAAGCAGACCATGATGAAAACACTGGCAGCCGAGAAGGCGTTCAAAACAACGAGTTCAAGATGAGCATGGTAAAAAGCTGATGGATAATTATTGCTCATACCGTAGCCTAATCTCAGCGCTAAAATATAATTGTATTATAAATCGCTACATACTTATTGCTGCATTAAGAGTAAACCGCTTTTACTAAAAACATCAAGTTGATTAAATTAATTGTGTACTGATGCAATGATAAATTATGTTGCTGCAATTAATCATAATCAAATACAAATAATAATCTTAATCATTGAATGTAAACTAAAATGAATTTATCTGTCATTGCCATTATTTAATTTATTTAATTAATTTGAGATTCGTTTAAACATGCGCTATTAGTTTTTTCATGCATTATTTCTCTATGATATTTTTCTTTAAAATTAAATTATACAAACTGATTGTGATCCAAGACAGTGTAACACCGATGTGCGCCAGCGCAAGTCCGCTGAGATACAGGTATGTGATTCCGCGAAACATTGGACTGGACAGCACGATAAGGATTGCCACATTACCAAAAATGCCGATGGTCAATATTATTGGAACTATAATACCGTAAGAAGTCCACATTAAAGACATTGCATGACTTCGAATAACGTCATCCTCGATAGGCACACGTCCAACAGTAGAGTTTTCATCTTCGCAACACAACAAGGTACTGAAAAGTATATTATTCTTTTATCAGAATTTGCACATTTAAAAATCGCGAAAGAGAAGCAGTACATATTATTATCATTGAACTCATCACATTAAAACTGTTTTACTGTATACTGAGATAATGCTATTAATAAAAAAATTTTATTATGAAATTATAATATACCAACCCGTCAATCACCCCCGTCAACATTGTAAGTTGTAATGATTATTAATCAGATGCAAATTGGAATCGTAATTAAAGAACTTTTACTTTCGATTAAATAATCCAAAAGTTTCTTGCTATTCGACGTTTCATGTTTTTTTTTTCACGCGCACGTTACCGCCTCTCTTTCTCTGCTCAACTGCAAATCTACTTTCAACAAAGACATGATAGACTCTAACAGGTTTACCTGCGCCGTATTCACCTTACGGATCTTGCTTCAGAAGATTAAACACTGCGCAAACTCCAGCAAGGGTAACGTTGAGATGTATGTGGTTTATTTAAACACGTAGTAGATGATAGACTTAAACCCTTTATTAAATCAGGTCAAACTGCTGAACAAATAATAGGGATCTATTATTAATTGTTAACGGATAAACAATTTGTCAGAAAAATATCATGAACATTATGTGATGAAAACAAAAAAAATTAAAAAACAGCTCAAGATTAGAATACAAGATTATTGTATATATTAGACTAAATGTAATTATGTATTATATATATATAGAATGGTACCATGAATTAACACTTAGCAAACTCATGCATACAAGTAAATTTAGTGGTGATCAAACAGAAAAATTAAAAAAAAAATGAAAATTATCAGTATATAATAATTCTCTTTTTTAAGAAGACAAACAAACTTAACGTAGATATATTGCACTAAGTCTCACATACACTAAAATTTAAATAAAAATGTGAATTTAAAGTAAACTGCCTATTCTCTAATTGACTCTATTTTACTTTTGGCTTTCTGATTTTTCAATTTATTCGTTAATTATCTTGCTTTATACAATCGATTTACATTTTATTAAGAAACATTTAAAATAATATAAAAAATTCTGGAAGTTTTGTATCTTTCGCATGCTGCAAATCTTTAGATAAGATTATGATTAGAAATAATAGAATACATTTTAACATGTGGCTAAATTTCGATATTAATACTTGCAGAATCACGTAGGGAATCATTGAAATTCGGCGAAAGTGTCAACCAGGCAAACGCCCGTTGTGAAAAGCTATCAATGGTATCAGTGCTGAAGGATGTCCCCACGACGCCGTCAGATAATTCCTTCGAGCAGAAAACACCGTCAGAGACATTTCTCTCGCTCGATCGCATTTCCACTGAGTCGATCAATAAAAACACATCAACGACAAACAAGTCCGAAGCACCGAAGAACAACGGTGGCACGATATGATATAAAAAAAAAACAGTCCACCGTTTTCGAAGACGCGCAAAAATTTGAGCAATTTGCCGCGTCGAAATAAATTCGCAATTTATTCGCAATGCGCGAAATAAACCGTGGAAAAGAACAAACAAAAATCACCGTAAAAATTTTCACGCGACGAAAATGTGATAGAGATCACTTCGGCACCAAGAAGGGACGATCCTCTTCAAGCATCAACGCGCAATAAACGGATGACTGCGCCTATCACGACAAGCACATCACAAAAAGACATTCTGAATAAAAACAGAGGAAGCAGTGTATAAAAATAATGCTGATAAAGAAAAGACAAAGTCATTATTACAAAACAATTAATCTGACCTAAGAATTAAAGGAGAAGGCAAAGAATCTGTAGGAGAAAAATCTGTAGAAGAACGCAAAGAATGTAATAAAAGTATATCGCTACTATTGCAATGTGAAGACTCAAGTTTCTGCCTAAAATTTCGTCTACAAGCCCTAAACCCTAAGCCCTAACTTTGTAAAAATAAATGTAACTCTATGAATATCAGTAAAGTTGAAAGCTAAAGCAATTTTTGGATCATATTTTTTATAAAGCAAAGAAAAATTTTTTATTAAAAGTTAATCATACAATAGAACAAAAAGGATAAAATTGACAAAGTCTTTCAATAATCTCTGAAACACTTTTCAGACCTCCTTATCTTGAAAAATGAAAAAATAAAGAATATAAAAACGAAAAATAAAAAATAAGAATAGCTTAAAGAGATTCCAAGCTACGCGATTCTGCATTAAATATTAAAATGTTTAATTAAAGTGTTTAATATAAGTAGATTCTATAAATGTAAACAAAACTAATTTATCTACTGAATACTCAACATCAAATTTATATAAAATGCATCTTTTATATAAAAAAAAAAACTATACCTTTTTCAAATATATTGGTCCTCATAGAAAATTAAAACATCAATTCAAGTAGAAGCCAATGACATGATATTTTCTTCCTGCAGTGGTTAAAAATGAACATCTCATCAAAAGCAGTTGCGCGAAATCATCAAAAATTCAGAGCAATTTCTGAAACAAAATAAGATATGAGTGAAGCACAGTTAGAACACTTATACAAAAATGTTTTGTCATGTATTAATTACAAATAAAAAACAATATCCGATAATGATATAATTTATGACATTATATGACATTATGATGACCTTTAATCAATTTTTTATGCATCGTTATTTTATATTATAATTAATTTTCATCAATTTTAGTTCTAATTAGTAACATTATATAGATTATTTTTTTATATTTAAATTCTAATACAGATACTAATTATAGACATAAGAATAATTTATTTTTTAGCAATGCTCTATAATGTCAAAACTATTAACGTTATTATAATATTATTGAACGGAAACAAACTACTATTTCAATAAAATGCCTTTTTTTAGATTATACCCAAAAATATTTTAGCACCGAATGGCCACTCGGTAGTCAATCGAGTTGAAAAGCATCCTTCCGAATCATCGAGTTTATTCATAGACGTGACAACCTGTAGTGTTGAACGCAGCCGACACTGTACACCACAGGATCACCATTACAATAATAATTTGCACACTGAAAAAGATCAGTCAAATGTCATAAAATTTGATTAATGTTGCAACAAGTGTATGTGTATAAAATGTTTATGTCAAATAATATAAAATATTAAACGTATATGTTATAAAATATTATTTCCTAAAAGCCTCTAGAACGTGGTTGTAAATGAGGTGTTATATGATGGCGTGTGCCTTCAGTCCAAATAAATAAGAGAAATTATAAATGAGAATAAAACTGGGGTTAGATTTTCAAATCGGCCTCAATTATCGAACTGCATAATCAGGGTTTTAGTTGCAATAGATTCCCTACAGAGGCGCCACAATTCACTTCTGCAAGTTCATTTGTAATACTTCGAAGAAATTGGTTAAGTAGTACTGAAAGAAAGAATAAAAATGTTGAATTCTTGTATTTATATTTTTAATACGGAATATGTAATGTGTCAAAGAAGTGTACATTTTCCTATATTATCAGAACAAGAAATGATTATTGATATTTTGTAAGTTGTCAATTTATAAATTTAAGTATTATAAGTTTTTCTCATTAATTAAATTACATTAATTAAATTATATTTAGATATTATTACAGAAACTTTTATACTTCCTCTTAATAGCTGATAGTTTTAAATTATAAAAAGGAAAAAAATGTGTACATTAAAACTATTACTTATTGATAATAGAAGAAACTTAATAAAATGGCATTCTTATTAATAAAAAATAATCAAAAGTAAAAATTTCTATTACAGGAATGACAGCAGGAGGGGACGATTTGTACAATACAAACACAAATCTTGCTGATAAAATGTGCTGTTACATATTTGAACGCTGTTTCCGCCTTTATTTTCAAAGGTGTCGACGTGTTATATCAAAAGTTAAAATAGGATATGTGCTATTTTTTCTGGGCTTGATAGCATTGTTAGAATTCTTTGGGATATTTGTGCATCTATTTGAAGTTACATATGATGAAAACTTTGTATATCCATATGAAGGCAATGTACACGAGTTTGTGAATGCTTTACGGCGCAATGAAAAACCTGAAGTTGAACCTATCAATGAATACAAGTATAATTTTGTGTTCAAACAACCACAAAAATGTAAAGAAGATGTGGATTCTTCACTTCGTCTTGTATATATAGTGAAGTCTGCTATAGAAAATTTTGACCGAAGAACTGCTATACGTAATTCATGGGGAATTGAAAAAAGATTCTTTGATGTGCCAACAAAAACTATTTTCATAGTAGGTACACATCCAGATGATGAAGAAATAGAAGCAAAACTAAAGTTAGAAGCTACAATCCATAAAGATGTTATACAAGCAGACTTCATAGATTCATATTATAATAACACTATAAAAACTATGATGGGTTTTAAATGGTTAGTAAAATATTGTTCAAATTCGAAGTTTTACATGTTTGTCGATGATGATATGTATGTATCAGTGAGAAATGTAGCAACATTTATCAGAAACCCAGCTAATTATCCACTTTATTTAATGGAATCAAAAAAAGTATATAGTGCACACAAAAGGGAAATCAAACTCTCTGATTTAATGGATTTCAAAGATGTTAATTTTAGTAATAATAATATAACATCATACGACATAAAAATGAATAGAATATCTTCTGTGCAAAGTTTTACAACTCATGAATTTATAAGTAATAGTAGTCAGAAGAATAACATACATAATGAAGAAGATAAACCAATTATAAAAAATCTTCAAACAGAATATAAAAAGTTGCTTAGGTTAAATACATCTATACTGAATAGAACAAAGCGACAGCTTTTCGATTTTGAACTGCCAGACAGCATTAGACTGTTTGCAGGATTTGTATTTATGCGATCTGCGCCTCATCGACATAAATTTTCTAAATGGTATGTTACACTAAAAGAATATCCATACCATTTGTGGCCACCATACGTTACAGCTGGTGCATATATCTTGTCTAAAGAGGCTCTTTTGGATTTGTATTATACCAGTTTTTACACTAAGCACTTTAGGTTTGATGACATTTTTCTAGGTTTAATAGCTAAAAAAGCTGACATAGTACCATTTCATTGCGAAGAGTTTCATTTTTACAAGAAATCTTATACAAAATACAGTTACAAATATGTCATAACATCTCATGGATATGAAGATTCAAATGAACTTCTACAAGTATGGCATGAGCAAAAAGCTCTCGGAAATGCTTGAATTTTTATATATAATTACAAAATGTTTCATAATACTTTCTATCATATGTGCGTGGCTCTAAATATTATTTTTACTTAACGAAAAATTATACATTATAATAGAATTTTGCTATACAGAAATGTATTAAAATTATATATATATATGTATACGAAATATATATATATTTAATAGAAAAGAGAAATACTGATATAAGCAAAATAGTGATTGTATGAAAAAAATTTGATTTATCATGAAAAATATTCTGTAACTTTGGAATAGATTTTATATTATGGTCAGTCTTTATATATATACAAATATTTCGTAGAATATAATAAAAAGTTAAGCATATAATATAATATTATTATTTATATAATGCATTTAAATTAAGCAATACTATTAAAAACATTTATAATCATAATAATATTATGATAAATTATGCATCAAATGTATTGTATTCATTATATTAATCTTGTTTACAACTAAGTCATTGCTCAATGTATAAATTTTATTTATTGTTATTTATAGACTGATTAGTATTATTCTTACAAAATTGCCAAATAATGTGTAGACATCTGTATTGTTAGTAAATTTTGTAGAAGCTAATAACTTATACTATAAAAGTTTATAATTTTGCACTTGGATATAAATTATAATAACTATATTCTTGTGATCATGCATCTAATAATAATGTAATAAATGCATTTTTTAAATATTTGGTCCCTTACAAATTTTTTGTCAAATTCTAATTCATATTTCCTCATAATTTTCTTTTACATTGATTTTAGCTAAAGTCTGATCCAGGCTAACAGCTTCTCTTTTGAGCATATTAAGCAATAACTGGGAACTCTCTAAAATCTATGATAAGATAAATATATTTTGAGAAATACAAGATATTACTATAGCAATATCGATTCATCACAGATTTATTCAATAGTACTTTTATTACCTTTATGTATGCCAATTCACTGTCAGCAATAGTTCTGTCTAACTCATTTCTGATCGCAATCCGTTTTGCCAAACTATCATTCAGATGTGTAAGCTTACACGACATTTTCTCAATCTCACGTTGCAAGCCATTCTTCTCTTCTTCTTGAGCCTCTATTTGAGCTTGGAGTTCTGCTCGCCTTACTTTCATTTCTTCTAAACCTACTAAAATATTTATTATGGATACACTTAATTCTAATAAAATTAATCACTGAAATAATAAAATAATATATTTCACTCATAAAAAAAATTAAATTATTGCAAAGTAGTTTGAAACAGTCTATTTAACATTTGAATGATAATAATTTTTAGGTTAGAGATGAAATACATTACATTTAACAATTTTTTGGTTACATGCTTGTACAGTAGCACCCTGTTGAGACATCATAAACTTTCTGTTCACGAAAAATTTCAGAAAAACCAGAAAAAAATAATAAAAAAGATGTCAAAAGCGAATAATGTCTACAGGATGTTATCTCGAGCCATTTAAGTAAACGACTTCAGTTTGATCAGCTTTGGCGCGCAGTTTTCTATAAATGACATTTCACGCATGCGTACTATAAAAAATTATCACGTTAACAAAATTAATAAATTTATCTTAACATAACGATAAATCCATTCTGTAAATATTTCACCCTCCAAATCAAGAATTTAATTAATCAAGTTTAATTAAATTGATGAGAGAAATGTATCATATGTACGCATAACAAGTTGGCAACTTATAAAATATCGACAAATATTTCTCGTTCAATACTTTACTATTGGACATATTGTTATGCAATATAAAACCAACTTCAAAAACTTTTTATAACCTAATTTTCCAAATTTCCATAAATTATCTAAAAAAAAGATATTGTCTGTATTAAAAATATATTCTTGGAATAACATTTCAAAATAAACCCCTTACAAAATGGATAATTTAATTTTTTTTTCTATACTTTTCTAATCTGCCTAGGAGAAGACAAATCAGGTCGAGTGGGACGAACGAAGAATTGCGGGCGTTCGTAAGGATTGCCAAGCGCTACACCTGAGCTCACCTTTTAAAGGCGTCACAGAAGCGTGGTGGTAAACCGCACGCTATGATGAATGCGCCTTTCGCTCAGTTGGAGTTGGAGTACTAACCATTCCAGCGATTCCAGTCGCGCGAGTGAGGTGTTGGACGGATAAGCGAGAGTAAGGCTAAACATTGTAGCGATCACGCATCTCAATTTTACAGATCAGTTAGACGCGATGTGCGACATTGCTGGTTTACGCGAATGTCGTCGAAATTATCGCGAATCGTTGGTCGTGTGTGCTTTTTGAAGAAGTGTACGTACGGACGATTTTCGTGGAAAGAAAAAGGGAGGAACGCAGTATGGACCAAAGACGGTAAATACTCGTATAGCCGAGCGACCGATATGTCGCGGCGATCCAGATTCGCCACGTTCGGCTAACAGGTTTCCATGAGGAGAGGAATCATTGGTAGAGAAGCAACTATATACAGAGAAAATAATCTTCCGAGCACACGACAAGGTATGATAATATGAGACCGATTCTTTTTGTAAGAGCTGGAATTGAGGTATTTCAGAGATTTCCGGACGATCTCTGTAGCAGAGATCTGTATACATCAGCCGATTCGAGCGCGTGGTTCTTTTGTGATGCTTTTGTCTTGTGTGTGCGTTTCGCCCGAATATATGATATTCCTTTATTGTTTTTTTTTCGGAGTTTTATATATTATAAATAGAAATATTGCGCGCATAGATTGCATTTATGGCGCCTGCGCGCCGTGGTTTGCTGCTTAGCCACTTGTTGCTGCAAGTTTATTTAAAAGAAAGACTAACAAAAACATACAGCAGGAATTTAATAACCGGTTGGCGATGAGAGCGAATACATTTTATACAGACGATGATCTCATTAATCATTAATAACATCTACCGTATTTTCTTTATATGAGTTAAAGATTACTTTTTTAAGAGAATTAAAAAAATTAGGCATTTAATTATGAATTTTGATTGCATTATTTTGAGAAATAAATTTTGATTGCAATATATTTGTTGTTCACAAGATGAAAATCATTTCTGAATAAAAAGTAATATATAAAACTCAATTACGTCATTGTATCATATCGCTTACTATATACGAATTTTCGTTGTCTTTAAAAATGCAAAAATATTCTGTTTATATTAAGAATCGAAGTAGAACGGCACGATAAATATGTATAATATTAATTAAGATGAAGCTGTAAATGTGACAGATGTCACAATTTGTTGTGAAACAATCAATGAAGCGATGTCTCGAAAGAATTGCGGGGAAACGATTGGAGGCGAAGGGCACGCGCGCATTGCCGATCAAAGATGTTGCATATGTCCTTGTTAAATGACATCATCGTACTAAATAAGGATTTGCTCAACACGTTGAACGCACTGCAGGCACTGCCTACGATCGAAAGACAATCCCATAATAATGCATTGTTTTGCAATCAATATATGCACGCAATACTCAAAGGAATGCCACACCTTACAATAAATCTGCATTTAACTTTAGAGCATTACAATTACTGGCATTGTTAAATAAAATACGCTCGTGCGCGGAATCAAAGTCATTGCTCGGAATAAAATTATAAAGTCCAAAATAAAAATTTTTCAAAACATAAATGCAACATAACTCTTCCAACACATTAACAAATATTTTTTTATAGACTTATAACATAAACAATGCATAATGAAGCTTTGAATGAAGATTCTCTTTTGAAGTATGCAATATACACGCACACGTAAGAATGGAAATGAATACACATCACATTGCATGCTCACAGTAAGCAAATTTTCTCCTACTTGGCATCCTTTAACTCTGATTTGTTAATGAACCAATATGTGTTTCTGTTTTAGATGAGCTAAGCGAGTGTTACTGATCAATTGCACATTTATCTTTGACATTTCTGCATGAGTGTATTAATATAGACTTCACAAAATGCATACTTCGAGATATTCTGGATATCACATTAATACACATCGTGATTACATTACAGATGGCGAAGAAAGCCATAGAGCTCCTTCAGATCGTACTGTATCTGAGTATATCGTTGCTAATGAGCATACAACCATGGTAATATATTTCACACTATGACCAAAATATTTTCTTAACTTAAAACATTTTGTCCATATTATTATTTTGTTATATTCATATTTTTAACTTTATCCCCGCTTAACATTCTTTCAGGTAAAACCAATAAGAAAGACTCACGGAGATAAATATGATAGGGAAGAAGATAGGAGATCTAGAAGCGTGCACAATACTCGTGATTCAGTATTGTCCGGTTCTTCGAAACATAGCTTACACCCGCTTCGCAAAAGTGCCTCACATGGCAGCATTTGTGACAATGGCTCAGATATATATGTCACCAGTGCTGCATACAGAGCCACTTCCGACATAAGGTAACTCGATTTGAACATATTATATGAGATATCCTGATATAAATATACTTACAATTAGAATATTAAATGTATATTTTATGGTACAAACAGTCGGGTATCACGTCACAGTTTAGCACCAAGCTCCAGACTGGATCACAGAGCACCTAGTCATTACAGCTACGGTTCCGGCAGGTCAGGTACTTCGACAGTGAAAACTCGCACATCACGAAAAGGCGGTATAATTGTAGAAACTATGTCAACGCCAAATCCTTTCTGCCCAAACACCAAAGGCGTCTGTTGCCTCATGTTACTTCTGAATCTTGGTCTGATTCTGGTCACTCTGGGCTTCGTTATCGTCATACAATTTTTCCAACCATTAGTTGTTTGGTAAGCGTATTGCGCAATAAGTTTTTCCATGTGATTTCTATGTAGTATTCTATACTAAAATTAACAGATATGATTACTTCAATTGTAAAATTATAATTTACAATAATAATGTTATATTTTTAACAATGATCAATAATGTAAAGGAAGAGAGAAGGTGTATGGATTAATCTGATATATCTTACAAGACTGCTTTATATTTTTTTTAAATATTTTTCTTTAGGATTTTGGGAATAGTATTTCTTGTGTTTGGATTTTTGACATTAATCGGCAGTCTCGTGTATTGCGTACACGTATTCAAAAATGCCAAACACCCACACGATATCAATCCAGAAGATCTATATTGGACCCATTACTGGCAAGGACGTGTTGGTTCTACAGCACCTGAAGTATATTATAAAGCAGAAGACAAATATCAAGATGATGGCTACAGTGACCGATATAGCAAATATTCGGGAAAATATTATGACAGGCAAAGTCAAAGATATTAATTGGAATATGAAGAATATCATTAAATTTTGAAATACTAATTATTTTGCCAACTCTTATATCATACATTCATAAAGAATTTAGAAGTCAATGACAAATAAGAAAAAACTAATCTCAGTGCAATAAAATATACTACTTATGCATATTTATATATAAATATTATACTAACATTTTCTTTCCTCTTTTAGAAAATGTTGTAAATTTTTATCTTTTGTACCAATAAATAATCTATAAAAAAGAATTATTTTCTCCTCTACAACATATAGCATTTCTAGCACTAAATTAGTAATTTACTTTTAATGTGTCAATATTTGTAATAAAATTAATCAAATCAAAACACATATTTATATATTTTATATATATTAAGTATAAATACATAATAGTAATCACAATTAATATATACACATGATGAATTATAACAAACTTATTTATAAAAATATTACTCACTCCTAAAATTGAATAATCATCCCACTATGTGATCAAAAAGGTTTGGATTTACGAATGTGCCCTTTTTATCAAGCGCATAGTGAAAACGTTTATTTTTTAGTTTGAGTGGTACAACCACTCCACGATCTGTTCTATGTGAAACACTCTTTACCTTAAAAAGAATTTCATGTGAGAAATATTTAAAGTTTTTAAATAATACAATTATATTCTTACCATTTCTATTGGTAAATTCATGCAGCATTTTTTCCACAAGTGATGAGTAGTAATTGAAATTGTTTTACCACCTTTATGTAAAATCATATACTTGATATTACGAGCGCATAAAAAATGAATGAAAGCATACATGATAGGACCTGTAAAAAAAGTACATAACACTAGAAAAAAATTTTTTAAATTAAGACTATGTTACTTTATTTTCTTTATAAATATACGTTTAATAGATTGCATAAAATAAAGTAAAAATATAAATTATATATATACACATATGTAAATTTTCAATATAAAAGATTCACCTACTTACCTACAACAGCCGAAAAAATAAAAGTGAAAAGCCGCAATCCATTATATCTTATATAATTTTTAAACTTTACGTCAGTGTTGAATATTTCAAGGAAAGTTGGTGAATAAGTATAGAGAGCCAATATTGACCAGCCAAATAACTGTCCAATGGCAAACATTCGTAACATTCGAAAATATCTATCATTTTCATATTTGTATATAAGAACATTATTCCGTACATTTAAATTTACGTCCAATTGTAATGTTTGTCCTTGTCGTACTAATAAACTTCCTGGTAATCTGCTAGATTTAAGGAAATTTGCTGGTTGCACTAATCTGTCAGTTTAAAAAAGTAACAATTTTAATTTAAAAGTAACAATAATTAAAGAAGATTTCATATATATTCATACAAATGTTATTTATCTATAATCCATAGCTCAAAAATATATTGTTAAATATATCATCTTCATAAAATATATTTTATCACATTTTACCTTGTATATTTTGTTAGAAATGTTCTAACAATCAATGCTGTTGATAATATATCTTTATCATTTTTTAAGTATTTTTGTGTTATTCCATAAATAGATCGTGGTTCAGTCAATAAAACTTTAGGAAGTATAGAATGCCTCAAAACTACACCCAACATTTTCAAACAGATTTCTTCTTATGTTATATTGCATAAAGTCAATAAAAAAATTTTCACAAGTAAATGTTAATGTACTCCATAAACTTCACTTCCTGCAAATAAAACAAATAATTATTTTCCAATGTACAAGTTTTTGCAATCCTTTTAATTCATAATTTTCTATTTTTTTCTAATATATTTTTACATTTAATCTAATCCTAACCCTAACCTATCTAAAAACATGCTATGTTTTTACTATGATATAATCATGACATACAAAATTTAAAATTATCTTACCAAATTTTTTCTACAAACATTATAATTTATATGAATATTAATTATTCATAAATATTCAACACACAAAAGTTATAAATGCACAATATTTGGAAATATATTATTTTTATATTAGGTTGAGAAGTCCAAAGTAAAAGCTCACTATTATTGGTTACATTCACTTCGCACTTGAATGTAATAGGTGCATAGTTCAGCATAACTGTGAATCATAACAAATGATTGAACAGTGACCTGGACAAATTGATAAAGCTAACAAATGTAAAGCCTGTCAGACTACGCATTGAAGATTGAAAATTGAAGCTTAATGATTGAAATTTGCCCAATCGAAACAAAAGGAGCTACAAGTTCTTTGTTCTGATTGGTAAATCCAATCTTTAATCTTCAATCCCAATGTTTAATGTGTAGCCTGATACGGACATAATAAAGGTCATTCCCTCACTCTTTTTATTCTATTTCATCTCCCACCTAAAAAAAAGAAAACTCACATTTACTCTGTCCAGTGATTTTGTGCTATATACATATTCATGGTACGAACGCAGGTTTACGGAATATTACATCTCGTATATTTATATCATGCGTTGCGTTATGCACGATGCATTCGATCGTGAAGACTGCGTGCGCGGTCGACGATTCTAACCTCGGTCGAGTTCGTGTATCCTCGGTATAAGTTAAGCATAGTCAAGCTGACAGATATCAGCTGTTCCAGTAAATAAACCGCTGTATTTCAACAATGGATGGCGTTGAAGATACTACACAGGATTACCAAACAACGAGCGAGGATGTCAGCGAGACGGACAACAGCAGCGAGTGCCTGTCTCAGCAGAGCGAGGGTGACGTGAATTGGTATTACATGCTGGACTCAATTCTCCTGAGCATCTTCCAGTACCTGACACCGAAGGAGCTGATGATCGCGGGAGAAGTATGCAGATCGTGGCATAGAGTATCGCGCGACGAGTTCCTGTGGAAATATCTATTTTATCGGACATATAAAATAGACCCGGACGTCGGCATCATGCCAGGTACGTTTCGTCATATATTCACGACACTTTGACGTATACTTTTATGCAATCAAAAATAACATCACATTACATTACATTACATATGAAATAGATAAGAAATATAAATTTACACTGTGATCTAAAGTTTCATTAAATTGGCACAAGCTCCAAGCAAGATTGCTCAATTTAATTGGATTAGATAATTATCTTAACATATAGTGTAAGAATAATAGAAATGAGAGAAAAATAATAGCAAAAGCTAACAATAAAAAAATATTTAGATATACGTAAGGCAACATTGAATTTTATGAATTTATTATGCATTTTTATTAGGATTTATGACAATATTTGTTGTCAGATTCTTATCTTTATAATAACCACTTTCAAATTCATATATTCACATATATTTATGTTTCTTATTTGATTTAGTGTGGAATATTATTAATTATTCTCTTTTAGGAAAAACCTCTTGGTTAGGAGAATTTAAACGTTTGGCATACCATACTCCATTAATAGAAACCGAAGTTCTTAAAGAGCATTCACATCAAGTATTACATGTGAGCTTCTCCCATAATGGCAAAATGTTTGCAACCTGTTCAAAAGATGGATATATTTTTGTAAGCTGCTCTCCCATTTAACAATTATTATTTTCTCTCACACAAACTATTAAATACCATGCACATGCTATCATTTCAGGTATGGCAAAGTCAATATCCCGTTACCATAAAATATTTGCATGATATGAAGACATTTAGTTGGAAATACACACAATTTTCCCAGTTTAATTGTACAGATACTTTACTTCTCGTGTCGGGTGTCCATTTTGGTACACCTCATAGTACTTCAGGAGAAATAGCAGTGTTTAGAGTAGCACGTAAGTGCAGATACAAGATTGAGCTCTTACGTGTGCTATAGATAAAGAAGATTATATGATATGAACTGATCAATTTTAAGCAGAATGTTAATAAGATATTTAATGATACACAGATTTTCATAAAAGATTTCAATTCTCAAAGTAAATGCTTATATATACTTTTTTTTTATCTATAGCTGGCTTTGACCTCCAATGTAGAGTAGTGAATAAACCATATGATATATTTGGTACATGGTACAGCGAGCGTTACCTTTTGAGTGGAAATCTGCATTGGTTGGCACACTTGGTCAGTACTAGTGTAGTTTGGCTTAATAAGGCAAACCAGGAATCAGCTAGTGAACATGTGCCCATTATGACACAGCTTTTTAGGTAAAATGCAATTCAGCATGCCTTTCTAATTTTTATTTTTACTTTCTCTTGTATATAAACAATTGCTCTGTTAAATACAATATTATATATTTTTTACACTTGTAATAATTTTCAGATTCTACAATGGAAATGCTTCCTCAATTAGAGCAATTATGGTCGCTAATTGTCTAGCACCTGCGCCAGCTGAATCAACTGAACAACAGAGTCAACCGTCCTCCTCGAATACAAAGGAAGAGAAAGGAAATCCACCAAGTCACAAGGATTTATTGTCACCTTCGAGTGAGTCTAGTAGTTCACAAGAGCAGGAAGAACCGGAAATACTACATCACGCATCATCGAGATTGCAGTATGATTTTCTTTCTCTTTATATATAATGCATTTATTAGTAATTAATATCACTAATACATTATATAATACATA